TCCCATTTCATTCCTCCTCCCCCCCCCTCCCATTTTATTCTCTCCCCCCCTCCTCCCATTTTATTCCTCCACCCCCTTCCATTTATTCTCTCCCTCTCCCTCCCATTTTATTCCTCCTCCCCTCCCGTTTTATTCCTCCTCCCCTTCCGTTTTATTCTCTCCCCCCTCCCATTTTATTCTCTCCCCTCCCCCATTTCATTCCCTCACCCCTCCCAATTTCTCTCCCCCTCCCTCTCCCCTCCTCCCATTTCATTGCTCCCCCCCCTCCATTTTTTATTCTCCCTCCCTCCCATTTCATTTCCTCCACCTCCCCTCCATTTTGTTCTCCCCCCTCCCTCATTTCATTGCCTCCCCATTTTATTCTCTCCCCTCCCTCCCATTTCATTACTCCTCCCCATTTTATTCTCTCCCCTCCCCACTCCATTTCATTCTCCTCCCCCATTTTATTCTCTCCCCTCCCTCCCATTTCATTCTCCTCCCCCCATTTTATTCTCTCCCCTCCCTCCCATTTCATTCTCCTCCCCCCTCCATTTTATTCTCTCCCCCTCCCTCCCATTTCCTTACTCTCCCCCTCCCATTATTCTCTCCCCCCCTACCCATTTCATTCCTTCCCTCCCCCCCTGACACCCGGCGGGCGCGCGAGGGAGCACTCTCTGTGTGCTTCCTCTTCAGCTCCCTCGCGCCGCGTACTGATGCCGGAGCCGGAAGATGACGTCATCTTCCGGCTCCGGCATCAGTGCGGTGTGCGAGGGAGCTGAAGAGGAAGCACGCAGAGAGTGCTCCCTCGTGCGCCGGCCCACCCACCCCCGGGTGTCAGCAGGGCCAGCCTCTGGGGGGCCCTGAGGTGACCGGCTGCTGGGCCCCCCCAGGAGAAGAGGCCCCCTGCGACCCGGTATGTACCCACTGAATGTGGGGCCCGGACGACCTGAGCAGTCCGGGCCCCCCAGGACCGCCGGGCCCATGACAACCGTTGCGGTTGTCATGCCCTGATGGCGGCCCTGTTTGGCATATACACATATAACAAGGTTTTTGTAATATGTATTTCGTAAAGCTGGTGTGTGCTATTCCTGTACAGAACCCCATATTGTGTTCAACTACATTTGCTGAGTATAACAATACCCCTATTGTATGCCTTTGGCACTTTTCCATTAAGCTACAATGCCATATAAGAGACAAGGCTATTTCAGTTTCTATAGTTAGAATTTTCATAGATGAATTTGGTGGGTCTATGTCTCATTTTGGCGTATTATAGCTACTTGACTGTTCAAATAACACCAAAAAGTTCTTCCATTTGAGAAAGCAGACACTCCAGGGTATCTAAAATGGTATATATTGTGCCTTAACTTGTCACCATTTTTTCACCAATTTATGTCAAAGTTTGTCATAAGCAAAAAAATTGCAATTTTTTACATACATGTTGCATTTTTGCTGGGTATTTCTTACACTTGATATGTACCACTGTCATAAAAACCTCCAAATTATGCTCAGTTACATCTTCTGAGTAGGCAAATAGGCTGATTTTGCTTATGGTAAAATAAGAGTGTTATGGTCCGTGTGTCACACTGGATTGTGTAGGGAGCGCATGCTCTATCCGTGTGGGCCTTTAGACAGTATGGTCCTGTGTGTGGTGTTGCCCCTTAACCCCGGGGGGGGGGGGGGGGGAGAGAGAGGGGAAATGGATTCTACAGTGTAATTAGACAGTGTACTTGCGAACATAAACATGGGGAGGGAGAAGTCCCGGAAGCTTTGGGTGGCATACCTGTGTAACAAGAGGGCTGTAAGGAGATAAGTGTTAGTCCCTGGCTTCTTCAGATCATGGACGCTATGGATGTTCTCGCCCCAGTCTGTCGGGGAACGAGAGGTGTCACCTCGGCAGGGTCACTTGCTGGTGGTTGTGCCGCTGGGTTGTTTGGTCCCACAGTAAACAGAGAGTCCTGTTGCAAACCCAGTGTTGATAGGAGATTCGTGGCACCCTGCATATCTTAGATCTGGAATGATTTGTCGCCATGGTGGATTAATAGTGCCCTAAGTCGTCTCAATTGGTATTTTGTTTTGTGCAGGAGGAGGAGAGCCGTGAAGGGCTTCATTAAGTGGTGCCAGGCCAGGGTCGCCCCTGCTAAATATGCGTAGAAGCAGAACTGTATACTCTCAAACACGTATGGCGTTTGGGTTCTCGTCGCTTGAAGGACCGCTGATCTGTCCTCATGGCTCATGAAGCTCACCAAGACATTTCTCTGTGCCGCGGCCGGGCTTTAGCAGGTCGTGGGAGGCGGAACATCCAGCCCAGGGCTGTTTGTTTGGCCTGTTAAGATAGCAAGAGAGATGACAACAGGTGCCGGATGAAACGAGGTACCTCTGCCTCCGGTATCTCCTCACCGATGCAACTGATCTTGAGGTTCAGGCTTCGTCTCTGATCCTCCAGGTTTGCAAACTGCTGGTCCATTATGTGGTTCTGCTGTTGCAGGTCTTTTATGTCTTTTTGCAGCTGCATCGTGTGTTTCGGCAGGAATTGGTTTCCAGCGTGCTCAGGCGGCCTGTGAGGCCTTGCACGTCTCCGCAAATCAGGGCCACGTCAGCTTGTATGGTGAGCTGAAACGCCGTTAGCAGTTCTTTCATCACCGCTGTGCTCATCGGAGAAGCTTCCGTTTGTGGGTGAGTTTCCGTTTGTGGGGGATTGGCGTGGATGGTGTATTTCAGCCCTGCTTGTCTCCGATAGTGCCCCTTAGCCGATGGTTTATCGGGCCTGGCCTTTTTAGTCTTCCGGCCCATTGCATCAATTGGGTCAGTTTGGTACCTTTTGCCAGTAATTTGTGCCATGTTTTGGGCCACTTTTTTTAATTTTTAAAAAATTTTATAAACTTTTTTTTACTGTTAAGCCCTAATTAGCCTAAAAGTAAATCCACCAATTTCCCCACTAACTCCCCCCCCCCCCTCAGCTAGCTAAATATATATTTTTAAATATTCAAATTAATTAAATAAATTGAACCACTGAGGGTTAAAAAAAAATTTGATCACAGTAGAATACTGTGATTTGTAATTTGATCACTGTAGGCAGTGATCAACTGGCAGGGAAGGGGTTAATTTTTAATAGGACTGGGTAAACGGGGTGGCATTATTTACTTTGACTATTTTTACTAGTAAATTATGGAAATTAACGGTAGGACAAGCATGACGGAAACTTTCCGTCTTGCGTCGGGAAGGGGTTAATGTGACATTTTTGTTTTAAAGGGATACAATAATAAAAAAAAAACATTAGTTTAATGAAGCAGTTTTAGTGTGTAGATCAAGCCTCTGAAGTCTCGCTGCAAAGTTCTCTGCCATTCAGGAGTTAAATCAGTCACACTTCCCCTGGCTGTGACTGACACAGCCTGCATGGAAACTGAAAACAAAATGGTTTAATTTTTAATCAGATGCAATTTACTTTAAATGTTTTTATCGCCTGCTCTGGAAATTGAACTTTAATTTTATACAGGAGGCTCCTGCAGAGTCTAACAAGCTATTACCATTCTAAATTCTAAATTAAACAGAATTTACATTAAAGGAAGTGTAAACATTAGCCGACTTCACATGAAGTGTTTAGGAAGGCTGTGTAAGTCACATGCAGGGAGGCTGCATTAACAAAATGATTAATCTCCTAAATGGCAAAGAATTGAACAGTGAGACTGCAGGGGCATGTTCTATTCACCAAAACTGCTTCATTAAGCTAAAGTGGTTTTGGTGACTATAGTGTCCCTTTTTTTTAAAGATGGCATGTATATATCAAAATAAGGGTTAGTATGTATAAAAATATTTACATTGTTAGCAAGCTTCTTTTAAATTCACAGTTTGGTGCATATAACGCCTAAAACTCAAATAATACTGCCACCTGTGCTTGTAGTGAATGGCTGAAAAGAATACACTGTACTTCACTAGAAGCTGTTGCTTCCATTTCTTTTTTCTCTTTAGAGTACCATTGGAAAGAAAGAAGAGGGTTAGTGTCCACAGACAACACATCTGCTTATGTGATCTAAGTCTGTCCCTATCTAGCTCTGTCCCATGTGAGTGTGCAATTTATATTATCTTACATACAGATTTTCAATTAAAATAATACACTATATATTTTTCTCTAGCTATTTGCTGCACTAGATACCTCTTATTGAATAAGGGTAAGTGCTTATTATAAGCACTGGTGGTAGGGTTAAAACCACTCAGTTTATCTTTGTACACTGTAAAATTTTATGTGAAGTTAAAGGGACACTAGAGTCACCAGAACAACTACAGCTTATTGTATTTGTTCTGGTGAGTATTATCATTCCCTTCAGGCTCTTTGCAGTAAACGTCTTTTCAGAGAAAAGGCATGGTTTACATTACAGCCTAGGCATAATTCCACTGGACACTCCTCAGATGGCTGCTAGAGGTGCTTCCTGCTGCACAGTGTGACTGCTATTCAGTGTCTCCACCCTCTGCATGGAGACACTGAACTTTCCTCATAGAGATGCATTGATTCAATGCATCTCTCTGAGGAAATGCTGATTGGCCAGGGCTGTGTTTGGCTTGTGCTAGCTCTGCCCCGATCTGCCTCCTTGACAGTCTGAGCAAATTCTCTGGGAAGGCATTGTGATTGGTATTGAGCAACACTTCTGATGATGTCAGCCAATCTGGCAGATCAGGGGCAGTGCCAGCAGCAGCAGACTGGAGTAAATGTTAGATTATACTATTGTCCTACAGTGTTCCTTTAAGGAGATACTCACATTGTGCTGTAGCTTCTATACCTGTATACTGTATTTATATTTTTAAGAGCACTTAGTGCACACATCACTTTGGTATTCTATTGCTAGAACCTGTTCAAAGGTTTTTAATGACAAAGTAGATTTTCCATTTGAAGCTTAAATTGTACCAATAGTTTGATTTGTTACATTGATTCAATAATTAACCATTAAAAAATGAGAACAAATATTGAAAACCGGGAATAAAGAACACATTAGCAATTTGAATTATTGATTTGATCCATTTCAGTTTTATTCCATGCAAATAAACATAAAAATGTATTTGAAATTCAAGTCCTGGCAGCATTTGCATAGTAATAGCATAAATGATTAGTAAAATCAATTACACAGAACACAATTCAAATAATTCCATAACCTTCTGTGAATTGTATGTAACAGTAACCAAATACTGGACACTCGCAGTGTAAATGTTACAGAGTGAAACCTGCATTTTAAAATATATTTTATTAATTGTAATTGTGTTATATTTGTAGTTGTATGTGGACTATATTCTTTTGTTAGAGCGTCATTATAACCACTAGAGCTCATTGTAGTGGTTATGTTGCAGTGAGTCAAACAGCAGAACATTGGGGTGCAGTGCCAAAGGAATCATTGCTCCATAACCACTAAGGAGCTATTGTGGATATGATGTCTAAAGTACCCCTTTAACTACTGTTGAGATATGAATCTCAAATACGGGCCTTGTGGGCGTGGAGCCTTGCTGTCTAGCCGAATGGATGCCATCTTCTGCAGCTCTGGCCCGAGAGCAAATAACCTACTCAATCTACTTCCCATGAGGGTCTCTAATACTTGACAGTAACCTTGGTGGTATACCTTGTATTATGCACCAACCTGGTTATTCTAGTCGCCTACCTCTTGCTGCTGAGTACAAGCCAGGACTGTGCTGGGGGGTTTCCTGGTCTCTGTACATCAGTTACTACCTATCCTTTATTATATCTGGCAACCTGTGACTAGATGACGCACCTGCATACATTTGGAGGTAGTCGCCATACTTGTTGAGCCTGGACTTGGTTTTATTTTCTGCAATGCTCAGGCCGGCTTGTTGCATCAGTGAATGAAGGGTGAGTGGTGGGGATCTGCACATGAACTTCTTGCCAGAATATAGTACCCAGGTTGCCTTTACATCCTGGCCCAGTGCAGAGGCCCGAAATGTATTGCTCACTGATCTGTGAGACATTCTAAATGGGTGTAGTTGGGGCCCCTTACGGACCAGTGGTCAGAAGGAGCTTACAGTTGTGAAAAGCATGGAACAGTACTGAGTGACGGTGGCTCTGGCAGACTTCCAAGCAGAACCACGCAAAAATGGGTGGGGCAGGGTGGCTAGGGGTCTGTGAGTGCCTACAGAAAGGGCAGATTCCTCCCATCAGTAGGCATCCACTGCAGGGTGGGAGGGGATTGTGAGGTTTATCCAATTCAGGCTCATTTTCCCACTTGTTTTTCTTTTTCCTGCATTTTCCATTCTCCATTTGCCCAGTCGTGCTATTTTTATTTTATTTTAGCTACAGCCAGCTATATATGCCAGTTCCATCCTAGTACATAGGTGTTACACTCTGCACTTTGATAACGAGTTCATAAATAATTATTTATAATTTCAGCTTCCCCTGCAATATATTTATTATAGTAGAATTTGAAACCTCCCATTTCCATACAGATTTACAAAGTCTGTTGAATCCGTAGAATATTGAACTTTATGGCCAAGGATCTGTCAGGGTGGCGGTCCGGTGCCCGGGACCCAGACACTGTCCGGGCGGCGGTGCGAGGAGCGGGACCAAGTATGCCTGATGTTCAGAGTAGGAGTCAAAGTGTGGAGGTGGATTAGCAGGGTCTGGTGCAGGGTAAACACACGCCCCCTGGTGTTGAGCACCAGCGTTTGTGCAGCCACATACCAGAACCCTGATTCAGCTTATGCGGATTCCAGGAACTAGGAGCAGGAATTAAGCAGACCTCCCAAAGTTGAATAGGGAGGCTCTGCAGCAGGAATGTATCCAGTACAGAAACAAGGCAAGACTAGAAATAGGCACCAAACATGAAAACAAGACAGAACTAGGAGAACCCAGAACCGGAGAAGGATAGAAAGCAGAACCCAGAACATGTACACAAGACATGAGGAAAACAAGAACAGGTCAGGACAGGACTGTACATGAACTGGGAATACAAGACAAAATAAAACAAGACAAGAGATACAAGGTAAAAACAAGGAGACATAACTAAGTACTACATATGAAAATCGTGGGGATTTAGTCACATTATATGATCAGACATTGCATAAACCTGCCAACAATGCCAATGTGCCCCATATCTGGCAGGTCCTACTCTGCCTAATGTATGCTAAATTAACCAAAGAAAACACACATAGCACTTACCTGCAAGAAAAGGCAGAAGACTTGAGCAGCTGCCTGCAGGAACACTGAAACAAAAGGAATGATGGAAAACAAACGGGTGTGGCAAATAAAACAAACATTTAAATGAATCCAAGAGACTGGGAAATCCAGGGACGGAATATAAGAATGAACCCAGAAATCCCAGCATAAAGAAAACCAGACATAGAATAGAAAACCAAAAAAACAAGAAAAACTAAAGAATTGAAAAAAGAGCACTGGATACCTGAAACCATAACCAGAATGATCCGCAGCTAGGAACAGGATGTGACAGGTTCCAAAATATTTTTTTCAATTGGAGTGGTGTTTTTTGTGTGTGTGTGTTTCTTTTACCTTCTATTTATCACAGTATAATGAGCATTTGTTTTTACGATTATTATAATAAGAGTGACGGAATGTATTGCCATGATCGGAGCACTATACACTACTAGGTATGCTTATCTAAATTCCTTCATTCTATAGTGAACCAAACAACTGTATCAAATACATAAACACAAGACACCTAAAATCCAAGTATAACGACAAATATAACATTTATAACTTTAAAATGATCGCATCTGTTAGAAACTTAGCAGTTTAATAATTTACATATCTATTGTCAATCATTTCACAACAAATTTTAAGTTTAGTTTTCTCCAGTTTGATCTGCACTTGTAAGGCCTCTGTGAATGTTTTTTTAAAAGTTCACATTTTTCTATACTACGCCAATATTATACTTCAATTAAAAAAAAATGTGAACAAGTCTAAGCATATTTGCAAGAATGTTTTAAACATGCAATGAATACTTTATCTAATCATGTGTTTAGTCAGCATTAAAGAGTTACTTCAACCAAAAAACAGTTTTAATAAACACATAGAGAAACATACTGGCATGGTTTGCCTCGCCTCCCCAAAAAGATGAATACAGGGACACTATAGTTGCCAGAATAACAAGCTTAATGTAGTGGTTCTGGTGTCTACAGCCCCTCCCTGCAGGTTTTTTTTTTGTTATATATAAACACTACATGTAATTTTCATTAGTGACTAGGAAATCCTCTAGTGGTAGTCATTCCGACAGCCACTAATGGTGCTTCTTGTGTCAGTGCTGCGAGCCTCCACGATCTGCATGTAGGCGCTGAACATGCACCACAGAGATGCATTGATTGAAGTGTTGCCGATTGGCGCAGTGCAGCATTTTGACGTGCATGCACAATGGCCTCCAAATGCTTTGCTACGGGAAAGCATTGCATTGGCAGAAATTACGTTTCATGACCAGGACAGCATGGGAGAAAAGGGGAGTTTGAAAACCTTTTCACTGTTCTGACAGAGGGGCCTGGGACCTAAATAGTGGGTGTAACATTATAGTGTCAGAAATACATGTTTGTGTTCCTTTAAGAAGAAAAAAAATAACAAAAGAAAACCTTACTTGCAATCCCACACCGAGGCTAAGCTCTCCCTGTGGCCTGATTCTCCTGCAGCTCCAACTCACTGCAGGGGAAGGACTTTCTGGATGATGTGTTGGTGGGGGCATGTTTCCATTGGTTTTCTGTTACTAGCATGCTATGAGTGCCAACAAAGGATGCCAAATATGTACAGATTAAATATGAGCCAGCCTGGAGCTCTTACACTTGGTTGGCTAATGATATTGCTGAATATAAAGTGTATACACTGTACCATGACCACTATAAATCAAACTCCAAGCACCACTTTTAATAAATAAACAAAACAAATGTTGGTTGCAAGAGTATTCACCTCCCAAGTCAGCACTTGATATTGCTACCTTTGGATCTTTTAGGCTAAAGAGAGTCACTGGTTGCCACTGTTTCCCAGCTGGCTTAAAATCTAGGCTTTGGCTTCTCTTTTTTCACATTGCTAAGGCATTTAGGTTTTTCCCTGTAAACCTGTCTAATATATCTTTAAAATTATGTCATTATCCTAATAGGAGGAACTGCGCCCAATATTTAAATGTCTTACTCTTGCACTAATTGGCTCCATCCATTTATTCTGACTCCTGACCATTTCACATTCCCTGTCCAGGAACATCATCCCCACAACACAATGCGACCACCACTATGCTTCACCATGGTGTTTTGTGCCAAGGACAAAATAAATAAATAAAATTGTCGTCTAAGCAGATCGTAGAACCATTACCACATGATCACTGTGACACCCACATGATTTTTGGGTAACCGCAAACAGGATTTGGTATTTCTTTCAGCAGTAGCTTTCTATTCACCACATGTCCGTGAAGTCCAGCTTTGTGGGCTTCTGTGTACGGTCTCCTCTTTTCTCAGGTACCATTGACAATGAATTATACTGAATTACTACTGACTTCAGAAACAACCAAACAAATGCTGGCAAGGAGAAAGATCTACATACCGGAGTAGCTGATCGAAAAATAAATTACAGCTCTTTTCATACTAATTGTCACTAACCATATGGATAGTTTGTTATTTTCTTAAGTGAAACCATCCCAAGAACTAATGCATTTTTCACGATAGAATTACATTCTAGTAATATTTCTGTACGGGGTAGGGAAAGATGTAAGAGAGTATATATATATATTGCACTCAAATTTGTGTGTGTGAAATTTACACGTACTTGTGACGAAAGCCACTTCGCCACCGGCCTTTGGAGAGAACTACTTGCCAGCCTCTTATCCTGTGACTATGGCCCCTTTAATTTATTTTGGCTGAGAGACCCTAATTGTGCCTATTGGGACTTTAAACATTGGTACTTCGAACTCCCAAACAGTCGAAGTGGCTGCCATTCGAACACGTGGTGGCAGCCATCTTGTTGTTATGGGCCGTAGTGTGCCAATTCTATTTTTTTTTTTTAAATTGAAGTGTATATGTTGCCGTATTCTGCTTGTGTTATTTATACTGTAATCGCTTTGTATCATTGTATTTGTGTGTATATGAGCTATTATATTGTATTTGTTCATTAGTAGTTTATGGTATTGTGTATGATACATATTAATGTGGGCTGTGTATGGGGGCTGCTTGTGGAATTGTGTGTGTTTGGTAGTGTGTGTGGGCTGTTTGGGTTATTGCATGTGAGAGGCTGCATGTGGGGTTGTGTGCATGTATGTGGATTGTTAGCGGCTTATGTTTGTGCGGATTGTGTGTATGTTTGTGTGTGGGCTGTTCGTATTATTTGTATGAGGGGAGGGTTATTCTGCATTTCTGTGTATATCTAGCAGTGTGGGTGGCTTCCCTGGGTTCCAGTGGGGACCAGGCTGGCAAGGTACAGGTCAAGGACAGGAGCAGTAACAGCAGCTGCAGGCTGCTCTACTACAGTGTGGTTTCCCATTCACAAGTGCTGGGAGGAAGTGATCTGAGATATTCCTCTATGTGCTGCAATGCATAAATTGAGGATTGTCCTTCACCACCTTTTCGTATTAGCAGATATCTGATGTTTTACTGGGACTTCTGATAGGTCAGAGCCTGTTTGGCTCTGGCAGCCTTGAGTGCCATGCAAAGCCACCTTGAGTGCCGTGCATGGCACTAGTGCCGTAGGTTGCCTACCCCTGTCCTAGACAATCAACAGATAAGTAATTCAGGCAATGAATGACATGAATGATTTGCACATGATACACATAAAAAAACCCTTTAGAATGCATGTAATCTTTTCTGTTGTGTGCACGTATAAAAGAAACCACTGAAATGTGTGAGATGGTAAGACATGCAAAGGAAAAAGAATTGTGGTTTACCTGCAAGAACAGAACAGGAAACATGATTCAGTTTGTAACACGGAACAGAAGTATAACGCAGAGTTTGAAAGTGTGCACAGGCTTACTAGTAAGAACTTTTTAAATTACTTTTTGTTCAAATAAAAGTTTCATTTTATCCTATATTTGGTCACTGAAATCAACTACTTAGAGGAATTTCATCACCTGTGGGGGACCTGAATCTGCCCGTGTGCCTGCATATAATTGTTGAAACCGCTATCACAGTTCAGAGCAGACTCATTTGGGCTCTGAAAATTGTGAGTGGTCCAATTATCTTCTTAACTTTAGTTTTATATATACATACTTTCCTATGAATATATTTTTTATATTCACAGTATCTAGGCATCTTGTACCAAGTACCAGGAAAGTTATCAAACATTGGGTGCGCAACCACAGTATTCTTGTTCCAATTGTATATACAGATAAACACTCTTAAATGTATACTGATGGGGGCGTGGCCTAACGAGCAACGCGGATGGTCGCTCGGATCTGAGCTCCGCATACCGCTGGCCCGACAAAGCGAAGACAAAAGCATTAATCAGCTCCCAAAGACCCACCTGCGACCTGGCAACATGGCCAACACAACCAAGAAGAAGCAGGGCGAGAAAACGGACCGATCCAGTTTTTTTGCAGCCAGAGCGTCGACGCCTAAAGCCGCAGGCCTCACAGACGGAGACCAAGATGGCGACGGCGGGAACGACACAGTGCCACTACAGTCCTCCCCTGGGCCGCAAAACCTACCGGTCACACAAGATTTTTTACAACACTGCCTGGAGGATATGTCCACCAAGATTCTAACCTCCCTACAGAGCACTCTGAAAGAGCTCCGCAGAGATGTGCAGGAGCTGGGAGACCGGATGACACATGTGGAACAAAAGATGGAAGATCAGGCTGCTGCACACAACGATGTGGCAGACCAAGTGCAGCATATGCAACAGCAACTGGAATACACACAGCGCAAGGTCATGGACCTGGAGGACCGCTCTAGACGCCAGAACCTGCGGCTCCGGGGTATCCCAGAAGAGGTGAAGCATCCAGACCTGCATGCATTCTTGATCGGATATTTTAAAGAATTGGCGCCAGATTTACCTGCAGAGGTACTGCTCCTAGACAGATACCACAGAGTACAGAAGCCAACGTTCCTACCGCAAGACACCCCTAGGGATGTGCTCACACACCTACACTACTTCCACGTAAAAGAGGCACTACTCCAAGCTACGAGAGGGGGTCGCGATCTGCCACAGAAATACAAACACATCAAACTCTTCACAGACCTGTCGGCAGCCACGCTGCAAAAGAGAAAAGAATTTAAAGACGTCACGGAAGCACTGCGCCAGAACAATGTCCAATACAGATGGGGATATCCGATCCGTCTGCTGATACGGAGAAATGGTACGGTGACGACAGCTAACACACCTGAAGAGGGACGGAGACTCCTGCACACCTGGAACATCCCAGTGAACCCAGTGGGGAAGAACATGGCCGCGCCGGCCAGGCTATCCCCAGAATGGAAAAGAACCAAGAAATGAACTGAAAGGTTACACTAAAGACTGTGAAGTACAATAGTCCGCAGTCCCGGCCACGGACGGGCAACCACTCGGCCGCAAGTATGATAGACATAGCACCACACCACGGAGTTGTATACACAATGCCAGACACTCATGCACACACGACAGACACGCAGACGACAGGGAACAAACACAAAAAAATAAAAAATAAAATATATATATATATATATATAAATAAACACTTTTGCCCACCGGGAGGGCAGAGATATTCCAAAGCACACCACCCAGGACAGGAAAGAGATACAAATGTGTTGCGCAAAAAAAAAAAAAGACACCCAAGAAAGGAGAAGTACACTGCCATTATGATGCAAACCATAGTTAGGCATTACCAGGTCCTGCACCAGGGCAGTTAAAACACAGCTGCCTAAAGAAACACGACAGCAAATATCGGGCTCAGCAAGCTCACACATAAACCTTTACCCTCAGAAATACACACGACAACCACGTCCACACACGGCACTATTTAGCTGGTGCCTAACCCCACATTGGGAAATGCAAATAATTGTTATTGTTCTTGTATATATGTTGATTGATGTAATGCTTTATTTGTATGTTATGAACACCTGTTGCATTAGTGTTCACCACCGTCCAACCCACCCCACCCATCCCACCCCCACCAGAAGGGTACTAGTACCCAGGGTACTGAACAAAGTGGAAGAGCATGGGCAGCAAAGAGGGAATACACGCACGCAGGGGAAACCGCAGGAAATCCAGTCGGCCGACTGGACCAGGGGCAGCAAAGACACGACACAAAAGTGCAGTCTCAGAGCTAACAGGAGAGTAGGAAGGAAAAATGGGAGAACCCCACCAGATATAGGTCCGCACTACCACACAGCAATACACTCCATAAAACATGAAAATATATTGCCATAACGTAAAAGGGTTAAACATCCCAGTCAAACGACACTGCCTAGTCCGGGATCTGCGCAGAGTACACCCAGATGTTGTATGCCTGCAAGAAACCCACCTCAAGCAGACGATGACCATAGCGCAGGCATACTTCCCCACGCAGTACCATAGCACCTATACGTCCAAAAAAAGGGGGGTGTCAGTCTTAATCAGTAAGGATGTGTCCTTTAAGATGATATATGAAAACGTAGACAAACAAGGGAGATACATAATACTGGTCTGCGAAATCAACAACGCAGAATATACGATAATCAACATATACGCACCAAACACAAACCAAAGAAACTTCTTACATAAACTGCTCACACAGCTAGCACACCTACAAAGGGGAATCACTTTCATATGTGGGGACATGAATCATATTCTGGACCCACGACGGGACACGTCGGTCCCGATCCACACGCCTAGAGCGGCAACACTGACGCGGGAATGCAAACCACTAACACGACTGATGAGTGAGCACGACTTGTATGATGCATGGAGAGTGCTGCACCCGGAGGAGAGAGACTTCACTTTCTTCTCCCAAGTGCACAACACTTACTCACGCATAGATGGGTTTTACATAAAAGGCACATTCCTCAACCAACTAAAGGACTGCTCCATAGGCACCATTACGTGGTCAGACCACGCCCCCGTCACCTTAGAATTACATGACGCTTATGAATATAAACACCGTAGCCCCTGGCGGCTCAATGAATCGATACTACACAACGAGCATTTCGGCGCGCAGTTAGCCGAAGATATTAAGCAGTACTTTAAGACAAACACGCACCCAGACACCTCCCCTGAAACCCTATGGCTAGCACATAAACCAGTAATCAGAGGACTGATCATAGGGAAAACCAGTGCGTTAAAACAAAAATCACAAGCAAAACTAAAGGGACACTTGACAGCCCTCTACCGCCTTAATAAACAAAACCAACTGACCCCAACACCGCTGTTAAAAACACAAATACAAGAAAAGTTAGAGGAAATCAAGACACATGACCTGGCGAAGATGGGATTTAGCCTTAGGAAACTCAAAGCAACACAATACACGCAGGGGAACAGGGCAAGCAAACTTTTAGCCAGACGACTAACACAACAAAGCGTAAAGGCAAAAATCCCATACCTGCTGAACTTACATGGGGAAAAAAAAGTGACACCAAAAGAAATAAGCGACATTTTTGCCGATTACTACATGACACTGTACAATCTAGAGCAAGACCCTAACACAACACATCCAACTCCTGGACACATAGAGCGCTACTTGGACAACATAACCTTACCCTCCCTATCGGAGGAACAAATAGAATCCCTACAAGTCCCCATCACCACAACGGAAGTCCTGCAAGCCATCACACGCTTACCCCCTGGGAAAGCACCCGGCCCAGACGGTCTCACGAACACATATTATAAGAAATATGCGGGAATACTAGCGCCACACCTGGCGCACCTGTTTAACACAGCAACCCAAAAAGGAGAGGCGCCAGCGGAAATGCTGGGGGCCCACATAGTCACACTACCCAAACCGGGAAAACCCCCCACCTGCAGTCAAAACTTTAGACCAATTTCACTGCTCAACACTGACACTAAACTATATGCTAAAATCCTAGCCACTAGACTGACCCACATCATCCCCACGTTAATACATGACGATCAAGTGGGCTTCACCTCTGGGCGACAAGGGTCGGACAATACAAGAAAAGTAGTGGACCTAATGCAGTGCTTACGCCGTAGCCGGGGGGGAGGGGGGGGTCCTCCTATCCCTGGATGCGGAAAAGGCATTTGACCGTCTGAACTGGGCTTGCCTGCAGGCTGTACTCCAAAAATACAAGTTTCCCCAGGGGTTCCTGAGGGCAGTGCAGGCATTGTACTCCCACCCCACAGCTAGAGTACTCAATGCAGGGTTTATATCTAAGCAAATCACAATAACCAATGGCTCTCGACAGGGCTGCCCCCTGTCCCCACTACTGTACATCCTAGCGCTGGAGCCACTGGCAGCAGCGATAAGAGCAAACCGTTCCATAAAGGGTATTACCCTGGGAGACAGAGAGTATACACTCAACCTTTTTGCAGACGACATCCTTGTAACGATCACACACCCCCTCACATCACTGCCAAATTTAATGACACAAATACGTGAATATGGGGAGGTCTCGTACTACAAGCTGAATATCACCAAGACGCAAGCCCTAGGGATGGGACTTAACGCGGACCTGTTGGGCAGGTTACAGACGGCATTCCCGCTGGACTGGAGAAACGACTACTTGACGTTTTTGGGACTTAAGCTATCCAAAAACCCGGCACACCTTTTTAAACTAAACTACGAGCGCATACAAACAGAAATCATAGACACCATACAAAAGTGGAGAGGTAAATTTCTTTCGTGGACAGGCCGCATAGCAGCGGTAAAGATGACACTCATACCTAAAATCCAGTACCTATTTAGAACACTACAAATACCCATCCCGAAACGGTTTCTAAAAAGCGTACAACACACATTAAACACATTCGTCTGGGAAGGGAAAAAGGTACGAGTAGCAGCAGGAACACTACACCAAACAGTGAGCAAAGGTGGGCTGGGTCTGCCAAACCTAACAACGTATTGTAGGGCAGCTTATCTACATAACATAGCCCAAATTAACCGTCCAGCCCAAGCCCCGCAGTGGGTAGCAATAGAATCCCACTGGGCCCCACAACACAACCTCAGGGCGGTACTGTGGCTACAGAAGTGTCCAAAACACATAAGAGAAAACCTGCTACCCAGCACACAGAACCTGATGAGGGTATGGAACACAATGAGAAACAATTTGGTGTCCAATCCCAAGTTGCCCCTGGCCACACCAATACAAACAATAGGCATGGAAATACCTACATTCCGCGGAGACACCTGGAGGAAAGGGGGAATATACCACATATACCAGGTCATTGACAGAGGCAAACTGAAAACACTACCAGACATACAAACGGAATATACACTGCCCACCACAATCACATTTTCCTACCTGCAGCTCAAATCATATATAGCAGGCAAACTAAGCAAACAACCAGGTATAGAAGAAGAAACAACCATGACAGTTTTTGAACAACAATGTGTAGGAATAGCACCACTAAAGAAATCAATGTCATGGGGATACCATAAGTTAACCTTGACACAAACGCATACACTAGAACAGATCAAGAAAGACTGGCACAGGGAAATAGGTCAGAAATTCCCAAGGGAAATCCGGGAGAGGTCCTACTCGGTCCACAGAGGACTAACAGCGTGCGCATCGCATTTGGAACTGCAGCGCAAAATTATGTACCGATGGTACTTAGTGCCCGCAAAACTACACGCAATATGGCCACACACAAGTAACAGGTGCTGGAGGTGCGGGGGGGAGGTAGGCACGATGCTTCACATCTGGTGGTCCTGTGACAAAATAAGCCCATTTTGGGAAAGCGGTGTCCACACTCCTGAAGGACATAACGCATAATATAAGGGTGGATACACCACAAGAATGTCTATTATTCATGCTACCAACCAACATCCCAAAACATCTTAAAATCATTATATACCACACACTAATATCAGCAAACTTGCTGATATCCAGGCTATGGAAACAAACCACAACACCATCAATAGCCGAGTTGATGAGGCAAATGGACCTTAATTGGTCTTACGAGTTAATGGCAACGACACAATTCGGAACCCGCCCGAGTATAAGGGAAGCCCACGAGATGTGGGAAAAAGGCAAAAACCCACAAATGGGTACCAAGATACAATACCAGCCCCCTCGTCCCCCCCGTCCCCCTTCCGCCCATCCATGCCCGGGGACTGCTGAACGCACCACACAGTAAAGGATACATAGCGAAGTATCGAGCACCAACATGCAACCAGAGGAGAGGAGGAAAAAAAAAAGTATAACCGCAACCTAATAGCAAGGCACAAACGCCACCAGGAAACGAGGCAATCAGTATTCTGGCCATGTAAGCAACAAAGTACCTTTACCCAAACAGACTCTAGTACCCGAAACTAAAACAGACCAAAACAAGGGTAAAACCCACAACAACAACATGAAGGGGCTAATTGACGCATCAAAAAGTGTAAAAAGTGTAAAATGTGTAATAGAGTTAACAAACCAACCGCTGTAACATGCAACCTGTACCCTGCACCCCTCCCTTTCTCTTCTGTACCCCCTTACCCCACCCATACTGTTTTGTGATATGTGAATGACTAAACCAAAAACACAAATAAACTTCAAGTTATAAAAAAAAAAAAAATGTATACTGATGGCAGTGATGCTGTACAGCAAAGACTGGGAAGAGATATTTGCCATAAATTTGGCTCTTTTGATGGCTGATGTCAAACAGCCAAAGGTAGCATTATTTATTTTGAGCATACAGTCTCTGGATATGCCGTGTGATGACTCAGAACAAAGTCGGATAAAGAAACCATCAGCCACCCAATAGCCAACTTTACGCCAAAAAGATGAAAATATTATTAGAAAATTAATAAACTTGACCATGTAATCTAGAGCTAGTTAAATCGACACCGGTATCTTGGATACTGAATAAATAAGACATTGGAATACAATGGATCAAAATGTCATTAAATAAAATAATATATATTTGGTATATCAAGTATTTGATTAAAAACCACTCCATTCTTTGTAAGTTCATATTTAACAGAAGCAGAGCATGTTTAAACCCATTAAGATTAATAAAATTACTGGATAAAAGGAAACTATCATGTTATATTTGAGGACTTGTTTTTCCGCCAATAAACTAGTCTTTTGTTCATCATTTTCCCTAAATTGTTATTTAATTTCTGCCTTTTTTTTTCCCCTTAGCAGCAAGATAGTTCTCAAAAAGACTTGGCTCCTGGAGCTTGAACTTGTGCATAATGACTGAAGTTTTTTTTGTGTTTTTTTTTTTTTAAACACAGTCCAATCTACCACCACTTTTCAAAGTAAATCTGTTCTCTTGGTATATGGAGTCCTTCCAGTTGTTTACACATGGATTCGATCATTGGTGGTGGCCCACAGATGTAGCACAGATGATCACTGGATATATATTTGGCTAGATCATTTTCAGAAATTCTACCCTCTGTTGGAAAAAAGAACAACAAAATAAACATAAGAAAAAAAATAGTTTGAGTAAGCATTAAGTTAACTGAAAAGATTTACTTTTAATACAAATGTTTTCGAAGTTTTATCCCACTCTAATGCATCCAAACATTCAGTATCTCCTCCCTCTGCATGCAGACACTGAACTTTCCTCATAGAGATTCATTGATTCGGTTCATCTCTATGAGGAGATGCTGATTGGCCAGGGCTGTGTTTGAATTGTGCTGGCTCTGCCCCTGATCTGCCTCTTTGTCAGTCTCAGCCAATCCTATGGGGAAGCATTGTGATTGGATCAGGGTACCACTTCTGCTGATGTCAGCAGGCAGGTCTAAAGGAAACCGTGACAAAGCATGCAGCTCCAGACTTGAATACAAGTAAGATTTTACAATATTTAGGGAGTCATAAAGGGACCAGGGTGGCTAGATGGTGGTTTTAACCCTATAGGGTCAGGAATACATGTTTGTGTTCCTGACCCTATAGTGCTCCTTTAAATTCACTAACCAGGGGAGATACGTCCTCTAACATTTTATAAATGTATGCTTACAGAAATAAACAAACAGTTCTTTGACCCTGTAGATCACTTGCAGTCTGCAATCATTAAAAAGCTCCCACTGATCCTTTTCAAGGCCTAAATGCCAGTTCTCGGTGGTTACTAAAATATTTTTAGTCTCACGAATTGCTGTGCCACTCTTTTTAATAAGGCACAGAACAACAGTCTTACTCAATTACTGCTGGAAACAGGTTGCAAATTAATGTACTTTATATAAAATAAATCTTACTGAGAAAACTTCACTTGTAGAGTCAATTAAAATTAAGTAGAACGTTTTCTATAAAGTTCAACAAGCTGCAGCCAATATAAATCTGCCATATGCCTCTATAAAACACTGGTTTATTTGCTAGCATAGCCCAACAAAAAGGTGTGAAATTCCTTCACCTTAAGTACCTATGAGGATCTTTTGCCTCCAAGTAACAGAATTTCCAAACAAGACCTGTGTATGGATATACTCAGTTGAGGATTTATCCACAAAGAAAATACATGATGCTTACTGTATCACAGCATCAGTGACACTTTACAACAGTTGTGTTGCAAGAATCTGTCTGATTGAGAAAAAAAAAAAAAGTCTTAAGGTCATAAGATTTATAAACTGCCCACAACTCTGTTTAAAACTTTATATCTAAAAGAAAGATGTTATTCATTAAACTGACAACTGCAAATGTCTGGCCAAAGTAGAAAAACTGGAATAATTTTACTGTCCAGTTTGTCCTGTAACTTGCAACCCATTTGTCAATTATCAGGTTTAGTGAATAAACACCTATGGTTTTTAATTAAAGTAGCACTATAGGGTCAGAAACACAAACATGTATTCCTGACCCTATAGTGTTAAAAACACCATCTAACGCCCCCTGTGCCCCCCTCCCCCCACCTGTAAACTTGTTGTCTCTCTAAATATAGTAAAAATTTCACTTGTATTAACGGTTATTGCTGCTGCTGGCTCTGTCCCTGATCTGTCTGCATGCCTGACATCATCAAAAGTGATTATGTGAGCCAATCACAATGCTTTCCCATAAGATTGGCTGCAACTGTCAATGAGGCAGATCAGGGGCAGAGCCAGCAAAAGCCAAACACAGCCCTGGCCAATCAGCATCTCCTCATACAGATGCACTGAATCAATGTCAGCATGCCGAGGGTGGACACACTGAATGGCAGTACTGCACAGTGTACAGCACTGCTTCAGGAAGCACCTCTAGTAGCGTTATCCCTAGGCTGTAATGTAAACACTGCATTGTCTCTGAAAAGACCGTGTTTACTACAAAAAGCCTGAAGGGAATGATTCTACTCCCTAGAACAAATACAATAAGCTGTAGTTGTTCTCGGACTATAGTGTCCCTTTGACTATACTCTCTTTATTAGCATCTAAACATGATCTAATTGATTCATGATCTATCTGTCGTTAATTATATCAAACATGATCAAATTTACTGTGATCATTAACTGACTCCGTTTAACTAACTGCAATTTACAGAGTCAGGGAGAGAAAGAGAGAGAGAGAGAGAGACAAATCGAGAGAATGAAAGAAAGATTGCATTTTAAGAAGTGTGTAGAAAAATTTATAAACTATGGCTGCAACGGATCTTATGTCTTCCTGTTGTCTAAAATATTTTCAATATGTATAGTAGAGCCATAAATAACGAATTGTAAGAATCCTCATTCCATAAATTAAATGGACACTGCATCCCTGAACTGTGTCCCTACAATGTAAGAGAGATACTTTGGAACGGTCTCCAAGGACAATAAGCAACTTACCAGTGATATATGGCTGGAGCTCTGAACAAATCGGGGAACTCTGCTGTGTGACGTGAAAATTGCACAAAATCCTTCCAGGAAAGTTGTTTACCAAACTGAGAATGTTTTTCTGAAAATGTAAACAGATAGAGATTAACTAGCATATTCCGAGCAAACGGTGAATACAAAACACACACCTCCCCACGGAGTGTAGATTTGGAAAGGAATCATACTCGCTGGAGGGACAATTATTGCTATTCTTGCAACAGAAAATTGGCACAAATTAAAAATGGCAACATGCAGGGCCTTGAAGCAGTAGAACAATGGAATAATGAGAAGTCTCCCAATCAATCAGTTGCATTATTAGACGGTGTTCTATTGACTTGAAAGTTCACTGTAAGAAATGGTGGCTCTGAGGAGGTCTTAAAGGAACAGTACAGAGAATGGCATTTCAGCAATAATAGTCAGCGGATGATATTTCACTTACGGCGATAATATTGGTAGTCAGTAATTCTGTGAATACTCATTTAGCTGTACTCCAGTCCCTTTCCCAGAAACCTTCTGCCATGCAGTGGTTTTCTCATTGCTTTTTGTGATTTCATTTCTTGTTTTACAGTACGGTTATATACGAGGGTGCACACAATTTGTAGAAAGAATTGTACACTGCAGATAGTTCTGAAGAAATCCATGCTAGCTTAGAATTATAATGTTTAAATCTATCTACCGATTAATATTTATAGAATGTGTATGTACGATGGTAGAAACTATGATTGCTCAAAGTTTGCGGAACCACTTAAAAGACCAGTGAGGATCTATTCCACCATAACTGCAGGGTCTTTATGGATTCCATTCCAAAGTTGAATGTCCCATTCCATTAATGACTGCAAGGTTGCATGGAATTGCTGAAGTAAATAAGCAGGATTTTGCATGTCAGTATCATGTCTTTAGGGGACAGGCTGCAATCACTGCAAAGACTAGTGTTTGGTCCTTAAAGGACCACTATAGGCACCCAGACCACTTCAGCTTAATGAAATGGTCTGGATGCCAGGTCCATCCAGGATTAACCCTTTCTGCTGTAAACAGGTTGCAAATTAATGTACTTTATATAAAATAAATCTTACTGAGAAAACTTCACTTGTAGAGTCAATTAAAATTAAGTACAACGTTTTCTATAAAGTTCAACAAGTTGCAGCCAATAAAAATCTGCCATATGCCTCTATAAAACACTGGTTTATTTGCTAGCATAGCCCAACAAAAAGGTGTGAAATTCCTTCACCTTAAGTACCTATGAGGATCTTTTGCCTCCAAGTAACCTATGGGTTAATCCAGCCTCTAGTGGCTGTCTCATTGACAGCTGCTAGAGGCGCTTCTCACTGTGATTTTCACAGTGAGAAGACGCCAGCGTCCTTAGGAAAGCATTGAGAATGCTTTCCTATGGACTGGCTGAATGTGCGCGCGGCTCTTGCCGCGCATGCGCATTCAGCCGATGACGGGGAAAGGAGGAGGAGAGTCTCCAGCACCGAGGGAGCATGGCGCTGGAGAAAGGTAAGTGATTACCCCTTCCTCTCCATTCAGCCCGGCGGGAGGGGGACTATAGTGGTCCTTTAAAGGGACACTATAGGCACCAAAACAACTTTAACTTAATTATGCAATTTTGGTATAAAGATCATGCCAACGCAGTCTCTTTTTTTCCCAATATTTCATTTTTATTGATAATTTTCTTTACAACTGTAAATACATATCTCCATTCCAAAAAAATAAATAAAAATAAAACACAAGATAAAACAAACACAAAACACAATAACAGCTCCAATATAAGCTCAATATTCATATCCTTATATTTATATATAAAAATAATTACAAAGAAAACAAACAAACCCATGCAGTCTCACTGCTCAATTCTACTAACCACACCTCATTGAATGTGACCTGTATAGGCTTCCTAAACACTTCTTGGAAAGGAACCTAGATAATCTAGGAGCCAGCTGAAATGTAGGGATTCTGGAATCAACAGCCTGTCCTTGCAGGCTTTTCAATGTAAACACTGCCTTTTCAGAGAAAAGGCTGTATTTACATTGCTGCCTAGGAACATCTCTTGTGACAGTCAGACGGCCACTACAGGTTATTCCTAGTCCAGAGCTGCGCAGTCTCCAAGCTCTGCATGGAGGAGCTGAATGTTCCCCATAGAGATGCATTGAGTGGCACAATATGTACCATAACCACTATAGCTCACGGCAGTAGTTAAGTTGAAGAGTTCATGGGCGCCATCTCACCAGTTTGTGTTCAATTATTTGAGTGGTTTTACAAAAACTGGTGCTCTGCTTGGCTCCTCTGCTCTGGCTCCGCTAATTCAGAAATTAATGTCTGCATTAGCCCACCCAGCTTTGCAAGGCAATGACAGACAGTGTTGGAGGCAGTTTAGCATTTTATTGCCAACCAAGTTTGGACAAGCCAAGCTACAGCAAAGGTGACAAGGTATAGGTCCTACGACAGCCCAGGTTTATTTTACCACTCAAAATTATTTAAAAACAAACAGAGACACCAGCACCAAAAAAAGTCTTGCACCACAACCGCTTCAATGAGCTGTAGCAGTTATGTGCTTACTTCATACTGTAATATTTGAAAACACATTACAGAATTTACTTAAATTCACACATATTTAGGATTAAAATTCACAACTACTTATACATGATGTTTCATTAACCCTGATGTTTGAAAAAGTGGAAATACACGCATACTTTCATATGGGACATCCAACCATCCGTCAAAACAAATCAGGAATGCCAGGAGACCATCAAATAATTTAGTCATTCCATTCCATGGAGAACAACTGGAATTCCGGTTTAAAAGGAGCTTATATTCACTAAGAATATTATGTCTTATTTAACAAATGTAGACAAATTCACCAGTTACATGGAAAAGTGAAATAATACATGTTTAGTCATATTCTAGTTTGGCCAAGTCTAATTGCAATAATAAAACCTTTGTGAAACCTTGGTCCTCCCTGACAACTATTTGTAAAAGCACAGATTTGCATTTTAGAAGCATTAAAGCTGTTGATTTTCTCTTCTGAGCAGCTGCGAAGGTGGCATAGGCAGCACATTTCCTTACAAATTGAATGCAGTCAACAAATGAGCTACAGAAAGCAGTTTGCAGTCTTTTGTTCAGACCATTTTCCCGAGATATGGTTTCTCCCTATCCCACTGGGCAATACTTACACACACAATAAAACAAGCACCCAGGCAGAGCTTTTGTCGATAATAAACACCAACAGGACACATTTACAAAAAAAGACTAAAATGATGTCTCTAAATATAGAAATAAACCAGTAGCTTACTTGAAAATTAAATTACTAGAATTTAAAATAATTTTAAAGTATTTATCTAAATTTCAATGTACAGGACAAACGCCATTGTGTGCCAGCACAACAGATGTGTGTTCATCTATGCAACCGTGGGCACATACTTCTACCTACATTGCAGTATTTTATAAAATTATACAGTGTTGCTGGACTTCAGGAAACAAGCCTAATGCACAACTTGCCATACCAAACGAGATTTCAGAGCAACTTACAAAAACTTAAATAGCACATTGTGCAGAACATCCTTAGACAAATGACTACTCCATAGGGGGTTGAAGACCGTTTGAGACCTATTAAGAGTTTTACTGTTGTTTAGGTGGTTCCAGGCTATTGCCTCACCATATAGAGAAAATAAGGCATCGGAAAAAGGTGGTCACGGGAAGTACCTCAGCATCTCTCGCATATTTATCAAAATGCTTCTGCTACATGCTAGAGATGTTAGGATGAAATAGGTTCCATTCTCCATATAATTCGGACCTGTCCTGTACTGACGGAGTCCTGGTCATGCATCCACTCACTACTAATTCAGCTAGCCAACTAGTGATATGCCCCCTGAGTTACATCTAGAAATCGGGCAATGCATGTTTTGGAAGCAACCAAATATAGTTTTGCGGGTGAGTTGAAACCACCTACTTTACCTTCTCTCTCTCTATGGTAGTTGATAAAGACTACAAGATTATATGGTGAAATGTCCCATAGGCTTACTGGCACTAGAAAGCTTGGGCTAGAGTTATATATACCTACTAATTTGCACAGTATGTGGCTTATTCCTTGTCATGCTAGTTTTCACCAATACTGGTCACCTGGTGCCAAAAAGTTTTTAATGTTAACCTGTTACTTTTTTTTGTCTGTGTGCCAATCATTGCATTACTGTGTACGTGCATGAGCCTCTGTTCATATACCTTGCTTGGTGATACCAATTTAATATATTTCTATTTGATGCACCTTTAAATTCTCAATAATAATAAAAAAAATAATCAAGATATTGGGGGGGAAAAAACAAATGGTTGCCAGGAGGCAAACTGTATAGATAACAAGTTCTCAAAATTGACTTCAGTACTTCAATATTCTTAGCACACGACCTAGAAAATAGACTCATTCTAGATCTTAATGTCAAGTGCTTAGTTCTATTACTCCAGCCATTCATTGTGAAATGATATCCTTTGAATTATGATCAAAAATAAAAAAAGCATTACTTACTGGGGTTTTCATTCAGGTACATCTATTTTTAATCACAAGTTTTTTCATTTGGTCTTAGGAAAGGAAGGCCACAAGGAGGTTTACAAAGGTCCTGATTAATGTCATTACAAAAATATGGAATTAAGAGATGTCCCATTATTTTAATCAAATTCTAGTAACAGCATTAGCCCAAGAGAATCTTCTACTCCACAAGACTTCGACTCTGCAAATCCTATATTATTTTCTTGAGGCCCGGGCTGAACTTTCTATAGTATACAAATACCCCTGAGCATGAATCAAACTTACTGAACGGCTACAAGCAGCAATGGAAAGAAAACCTTAGGAGGATAATTTCTATAGGATATTTTTTGGCACATTTTTCAATGCCGTGATGTTTGAAATGAGAGCTGAACAAGCACAGCTTCCCTGTTGAGAACCGCATAATAAGTTTTCTTCAATCATCACCTAAGAAGATATTTCCAGCAGTAAACCACATACCATTTAATAACTTTTACTATAATTGTTGAAGAAGAAAAAAAATATATGTTGCATTGGAAATAAAGGTAGTAACTCATTCAGACAATCTTATGGAAAGTTCCATGTGATTTGCTGAGTGATACACTGAGATTATTTAGTGCAGGGTTGGTGCCAGCAGTATCCTAGTACATTTCAACCTGATTGCCAAGGCCCACTGGTGTTCCTCATGCCACCTCAAAGTGTGCCACAAACATGGTGACTTCTGGGCTGTAACAGGTTCAAGGAGTGTTTACAAGGTTCTTTTTAGTAAGGGTCAGCATTAAACTTGGGATTCCCATCTAGCAATCTACCAAAAAAAATGTTTGGGAAGGACTGACCTAGAGCACCGGTTTTTAGGCATAGTCTGTTATACAGTATGGCAACACTGGAAGGCTCGGAGTAGAGGGAGATAGGCAGGTTATATACACTTGCTCAGCATACCCAAAGAGGCTTAGGTCAGTCATTCCCTTCTTAGTACTCAAAGCACACTAATGGTCAATGTCTTGCCAGATTCTGAGCAGTAAGTACTTTTACCAAAAGATGACGATGAAATTTATTATGTGTGCAGAATACACAGAAAATAGAAAACTAGGGGGGCGGGGCCGGACCGCCATGCTGAGAGGTCGCATACAAGACGAGCTCCTGCAGAAAAGCGACATTAATGCCGGTCAAAAGCGAATAATATACCCATCTGCAGTGTAGAAGCAGCGGTCCTGCGGGCAAAGAGGCACTGGTGCTGAAGTCACTCTGACCACAAGCGTTCTAACCCCTGAGAAGGCACATCGGCATAGCTGCATCTGAGCCCTACCCGGGCGGTGAGTAAGGTGGACGGCCGCCGCCTTGCTATCCTGCCCTGTGGTTTCCCTTTGGAACTCTGATGCCACGCAATACAGGCCTCGTTTCCCCCCCCTTTGGACCGGTGGGGGTTATCCCGGTCCCAGGAGACTGTCCCCATGACCCGCAGCACCTAAGTCACAGAGGGCCCCCATAACCAAAATGGCGGTAGTGGCAGGCAGACCTGAAATGGCGGGACAGCCAGAGACCACCATGTCACAGCAGATCAGAAGTCTCGAGGCTATACTGATGGTTGAAAAGCAAAAGGGCTCATTAACACAGCTAAATCACCACTTACTGACCTACAAACATGTTGGATTTCAGGCTCCTGCGGCAAAGTACAGTTGAGACCTGCTACCCAGTCCCTCACCAAGCAACACTGATAACCCTGCCGACCTGCATGACACTCCTGCGTTCCAGCTGCCTCCCAGGGAGGAACGGGCAGAAGCAAGACATCACACACTGGGAGTGCACTCACCTCTCTCAGCACACATCATGCTGGACTCACTCCTGACATGCCACAGGTTTTGCAGATCGGGGGTTGGATAAGCCTGCACTGTCTGGAGGACTCTCTCAAAATCTGGGCTGCATTCAGCGGAGATGGCTCCTGGCAGCCCTGCCATCTATACATCCTGATGTACTCTCTCTACACTCTAAGTAGTTAAAACTACTTGCATAGTCTAAGCTTTTTTCACCTACTCTCCTATTAATTTAGCTCAGCATTAAGTTTCTCATGTCATAAATCACTACAATTGTGCTGTTTATCATATATGCAAATCCAGCACTGCAACTGTTCTAACATATCTTGAACATTAACGTTGTACCTACTCTGTTTTACTACTCATTCCTGTCGTTATTATACAAAAATGTATGTCACTCCCTTATGCACAATTAGGCACAATCATATTAATGCCTAGCTATTACTGCGATGATACTCTACATAATAAGCATAACTTATATATATTCACAAAGCATGTTAAACTTAAGAGTTATAGGACTAGCCAAGTATAATGCTACTAGCTGCTGAGACATAAAGGCTTTTCTGGTAACCTTAAAAAAAAAAAAAAAAAAGAAAATAGAAAACTAAGCCACACCATCATCTTGTAATCAAAGAAAGACATCCCACAATGCGGTATCAGAAAGAGATAGGAGTTCAAATCACTCATAGTTACATAGCTGAAAAGAGACTTGTGTCCATCAAGTTCAGCCTTCCTCATATTTGTTTTTTGCTGTTGATCCAAAAGAAAGCAAAAACACCCTGTTTGAAGCACAATTTTGCAACAAGCTAGGAAAAAAATTCCTTCTTGACCCCAGAATGGCAGTCAGATTTATCCTTGGATCAAGCAGTTATTACCCTACATTGAAAGATTATATCCTTGAATATTCTGTTCTTGCAAGTATGCATCTAGTAGACGTTTGAACATCTGTATGGACTCTGATAAAACCACTTCTTCAGGCAGAGAAATCCACATCCTGATAGTTCTCACAGTAAAAAAACCTTTTCTTTGCCTTAGACGAAATCTTCTTTCTTCCAGTCTAAACGCATGGCCTTGTGTCCTATGTAAAGTCCAGTTTGTGAATAGATTTCCACACAATGGTTTGTATTGGCCCCGAATATATTTGTATAATGTTATCATATCCCCTCTCAGGCGACGTTTTTCTAAACTAAATAGGTTTAAATTTGTTAACCTTTCTTCATAGCCGATATGTTCCATTCCTTTTATTAATTTTGTAGCCCGCCTCTGCACTTTTTCTAGTGCCATAATATCCTTCTTTAGAATAGGTGCCCAAAATTGCACAGCATATTCAATATGGGGTCTTACCAGTGATTTATAAAGAGGCAAAATTATATTCTTGTCCCGAGAATGAATGCCCTTTTTCATGCATGACAATATCTTACTGGCCTTGGCCACTGCTGACTGACATTGCACATTGTTGCATAGTTTGTGGTCTATAACAATTCCCAAGTCCTTTTCATGTGGTGTTATCCCTAATTCGCTTCCATTAAGGGTATACGTTGCTTGTGTATTCTTTACGCCAAAGTGCATAACTTTGCATTTTTCAACATTAAATTTCATCTGCCATTTGAGTGCCCAGTCCCCCAGTCTATCTAAATCCCTCTGCAGCAAAGTAATATCTTGCTCACATTGTATTGTTTTACAAAGTTTGGTGTCATCTGCAAACACTGAAACATGACTTTCAATGCGGTCTTCAAGATCATTTATAAACATGTTAAATAGAAGGGGTCCCAGAACAGACCTCTGAGGGACACCACTTGCCACCTCTGTCCAGCTTGAAAGTTTACCATTAATGACAACTCTTTGTACTCTGTTTTTAAGCCAATGTTCTACCCAAGAACAAGTATTTTCATCTAGACCGATTTCCTTGAGTTTGAACACTAATCTATTGTGTGGAACTGTATCAAATGCCTTGGCAAACTCCAAATAGATCACATCCACGGCAACACCCTGATCTATACTTCTACTTACTTCTTCGTAGAACGCAATCAAGTTAGTTTGACATGACCTGTGCTTCATAAAACCATGCTGATTTTTGCTGATAACCATGTTAAAACTCCAAACTCCTCATGGATAGACTTGGTCATACGGGATGCTGAATATTAAACTACAGATCATTGAGCCCACCCAAGAAAGGACCAATTTAACTGTATCTTCAGAAACATCTTTTAATCTAAAAAGTATACAACATGGCTGAGGTTTTCTTTTTAACTTTGTAAACCAAACAGCGACATATCCATTTCTGTAGAGTCATAAATAATGCTATTCTCGTACCTTACCAAAGGATCTATTTTTGTTTTCTTGTTTTGAATTGTGGTTTTAGTTATTTGAAGGATTAGTTATTAAAGTGAAATCTACTAGGTCACTGTAAATGTAAGTGACCACAAAATACTCAAATAAGGTTATAAATATCAACGATTACCTTGAATAGAAGTTCACTGGTGTTTTTCGCAGTGTAATGCAGTTTTACATTGCCCATTTGGAATCCCTGTCCTGTTGATTGTCGTATTTCATGAAGATCCGCTACATGCAGTAGTATAGAAAACAGAGGATTGATTCCTACTCCACCAGCTATTAAGACTAAATCCACTGGAGAATCTGACGGTTGTGGGTCGAAGTAGAAGTCCCCTCCTACTCGCAGAGCCACTTCTGAGCCTAAAGAACACTGAGGAAAAAAAAAAAAACACTCATCAAGAGAACACTCAGAGAACCGACATTTGAAATAGCATGAAAGCATTCGCCGATCACTTAGCATGACATCCACTAACTGCAATTGGGACTTCACCCAACAAGTGAATTTGGGGAAAATTATTAAAATAGGGATGGTGGTGTGTCCCAGCATTTATGAATTCAAGGAAGTCAACATTGCCAGGGTAGAAGGCCGTACGTTCAAATGAGCTGACCCAGAGCTATGTGTGTGTATTTATATATTATAGATTGTATAATGTGTAGATTACTTGAGCACTGCTTTATGTTAACAGTACAACACAGTATCAGAATGCTAAGTATTGTGTCCCTGTGCACTTACTAGACTCATATGTTAATACCATGCATCATCCAGCCTTTTACGTAGAGACACATGACAACTATCCAATGAGACAAAATCATTTTCCTTAAAAAGGCACTAATATTTTTTTTTTTTAACTATCATTTTATCGGTAGAAACAAAAGTGTAAATAATGCATTCATTTGAGGAATGAAAATCGAATATGCCTCTTTAAAAGATACACACTTCTTGACACTGTCATGCACAGCAGGGGTGAGAGACAGCACAGGATGGATAAACAGTGAAGGGGTAAACAAAAAGTGACATAGCCTGACAAGTAGTAAGGGAGTCATCATAGCATTTTAGATGTATGGAAAACTCTAAACTAGCTTAAAGAAACATTCTAAGCACCATAACCACTGTTGCATGCTGTAGTGGATATGGTTCAGGACTGCCCTGGTGCTCACCTCCCCAATGTTAGTAGTTAAACAATGGTTTGGCTTCTTATTTCGAGACCTCCGGGTGTTGCTTCCAGACTCCTCTTAGCCTCTAGTACAGCTGCAAGCTCCTACTTCTGTTAGCTCTCATTAGTTACTTCTGTAACACCCACCTCGCTCCTCCTGGGGTCATCTTTAATTTGCCCTGCTTGGAGACACTTACCTAAGTGGAGCAAACCTCATTCATGACTGACATGCTGGGTTCATTGCCAGCATCTGAATGGAGTGATGTCATATCACTCACTTCCTATACTCCCTAAACAGTTTACTTGGGAAGTTTTTCTTCAAATCTATACATTTGCTAGCAAAACTGCTATTCCAATGTATTATTGAATTTCCAGCGCTTTTAAAAGAGCTAAACTTTTTAAACTTTTATTTTATGCCAAGTTCCCTTTAAGGATGCATGAGAAATAATGGGTCAGTTTCAGAGTACCCGGTTACAGAAATTATATATATATATATATATATATATATATATATATATATATATATATATCTATTTTATTTTATTTTTAGAATATTCAGCAACATTTTTTTTCCCTTTTCAAATTCCAGCTGTCTCATTGCAATTTGCAGACACCACTCCCTAAACACAAGTTATCCCAGGAATGTGGGAGACATACATAAACAAGAGGGATTGGAAATTCAGGAAGGAATAGGAATTTTGTATCAAACTGAATTTATCTAACACCATGCCATCATAAAAACACATATAGAAACTCTGAATCTTGTCAATTACAAATCCACATGTTTAGTCAGATGAAAAATTAGCTAATGTCATAACTGGTGTTAGCACTTTTAAAAGTGATGTTCCATTTTCTTTTAAATGCATGTATTGGTTTATGAATTAACACCACAGCCTAATTCGTTCCTGGCACAGCCAAGGCCTCCAATTCATTCGTGGAGTCATCTTGTTTCTCCTTTTAAACTTTACTAGTTCCCTCCTGACAATTGATTATTGCTGCTTAAATGGAAATATTTGATATACATTGTAGGGATGTCTCTATACAGGCGCAAAGATTTATTTATTATGGTGATCACTTACAACAATAACTGACAGAGAGACAAAACTGAGGCTCTCAGTTCTGAAACACAGTGGATTTTTATATTTGTTCTCAAAGGCCAACTATCAATTTACTTTACCCAACTCTTACCGCACTTACCTGGGTATTAACAATTCTAAAAAAACCTGGTATGAGCTTCGTTATGTTCTCCACTTAAAGGACCACTCTAGGCACCCAGACCACTTCAGCTTTATGAAGTGGTCTGGGTGCCAGGTACCTCTAGGATTAACCCTTTTTTTTATAAACATAGCAGTTTCAGAGAAACTGCTATGTTTATACTGAGGGTTAATCCAGCCTCCAGAGCCTCTAGTGGCTGTCTCATTGACAGCCGCTAGAGGCGCTTGCGTGCTTCTCACTGTGAAAATCACAGTGAGAGCACGCAAGCGTCCATAGGAAAGCATTGTAAATGCTTTCCTATGCGACCGGCTCCTGCCGCGCATGCGCATTCAGCCGATGATGTCGCGAGCAAGGAGGAGAGGAGGAGTACAGCTCCCCGCCCGGCGCTGGAGAAAGGTAAGTGTTTACTGGGGGCACCCTCAGGGCACTATAGTGCCAGGAAAACGAGTATGTTTTCCTGGCACTATAGTGGTCCTTTAACAAGAAAGCTAAAAAGATCCCTATAGCTTTTCAAAGTACCCCATACTCTGGATGGGTGAACAAAACCCTAAATTTGTATGACCCGCCTAGCCCTTTTCAAACCATTCTACATCTGACCTTCCTATTTTATCAGATTATGTCGGACAACATGAACAGATTTGTGTCAAATGAGAAAGGGGGTGAATCAGGAACTGGCAGGTCAGCCTGGCATGAGTGCACACAAGGCTGGCTGGCAATCAAGCAAGCCAGTCCACCGAGGGCGGACCATGTGTGAGCACTGTTTCAGTGGTCTCTGCGGGGTTTTAATGCCCAGAGTGCAGCATGAGCATGAGCTTTTTGGAGACAGTGCCCTGGTGTCTCCAGAAGTGGCACACCAAAGAGCAAAGCCAGGACAGGACCATAAAATCAGGAAGTGCCAACAAAATCGGGAATGTTGGGAGGCTTTTAGAAGGTCTTGTGTGAATTGGTGGCAATTCAAAGAGAATTTCAAGTTCTAGGCCAATAGCAGACTAAGAAACATATTCAAATTGAAGAATGCTTATTGTTCAACCATTTTGGCCTAAGATTTAAATGAACTTTTTAGTGCCATCAACACCTTCATATCTACAACCTTTCGCACTGTAAGGAATTAACAAATGGAAAGTCCATCTCGCAGGCAACTCTACTCCTTAACGTTTCTACCCGGCTTTCTTTGATTGTCCAGTTGTCCTTCCTTTCTGTAACAGTGCACTTCTGTTGTCTATTAGTAAACCTATTGAAGTTGTATAAATATTGAAGGATAGCAAGAAAAAGGGAAAAAAAAATTCAAACCTAAACAATCGATGCAAGACCTTTAGCTTGGGTGACAGGGTTTTGACAAATTCCAGGTTGTCATAGCAACTAGGAACTGTGTCCTGTTGCCTTGGCATTCACCTGCCTAATTTGTGTGAAGAAGCAGCAAAATACCAAAAGTGTCCTTAATATTCAGTATGGAACACTGGAACGTGATACCAGACAACGCAAGAGCACAGTGTTAAAAAGAGATTGTGCAACCCAGTATAAATATATAAAGCATGCTTCATTTGAACTGTCATCTGGATGCTTGTGGCTGCCATGTGGTTAAATTATGGGTTCAGTATGTCATAGCTGGTTTTATTGTGTATTCCATGTGAATGATTTATGGGTGCTGTCATGATATATGCACTTATCTCAAAAAGCACCTCACTTATATTCATGTGGCATGTGGTTCAAACTGGGGGAAATTCTCCTAAATGTATCTTGTAACAGCTTTGTCAAGCTCTTGGTGTGATATATTTGGGTATTGCAAGTTCCTTTGTTACAAAAGGATGCTTGTGATGAAAACCACAAAATGGAATGTATACCCAAATTTATGGGGACTTGTGTGCTTAAAGGGACACTATAGTCACCTGAACAACTTCAGCTTAATGGGGTTGTTCAGGTGGATACAATAACTCCCAGCAGCCTTTTTCATGTAAACACTGTATTTTCTGAGAAGTGAGGGAGAGGGTGAGTGAGGGAGAGAGAGTGGGGGAGGGAGAGAGAGAGAGGGAGAGAGAGAGGGAGAGAGAGGGGGAGGGGAGGGAGAGAGAGAGGGAGAGAGAGAGAGGGGGAGGGAGAGAGAGAGAGAGAGGGGGAGGGAGAGAGAGTGAGTGAGGGGGAGAGAGTGAGGGAGGGAAAGAGGGAGTGTGAGTGAAGGAGAGAGTGAGTGAAGGAGTGTCACGGTTCTCGCCGCAGCAAACAGACGGCCAGACGTGGTCACCCATGGAGTTCCCAACAAGGGACTTGAACCGGGGAACTTCGCAGTCCTGGTCCTGCTTCCTTCCTCTGAGCCACAGCAGCTTTTGTATTCCACATGTCATTCTGGTCCTATTCATCCTGGCATGTCTATTACTCTGGGGGCTGTACCTTGACTTTGGATATGCTTCACCTGACCCTGATCAGACATTAGCAGGGTATTTAAACTCAGCCTCGCCCTGTGATCAGCCTCAAGTCTTTGATCCTGTGGTGTGCTTTGTACCAGTGTTCCTGTCGTTTGAGCTGCTACTTGTTATTGACCCTGGCTTCTGACTACGTTTACTCTGACCTCTGGCATCCCTTGACTTCGGCTACTCCTCGTTGTTCCTGTCTTCTGGCATCCTTTGACCTTGGCTATCCTTTGACGATCCTGCTGTTTGAGTCCTTGCCTGTCCTGCGACTTGGTACTTCATCCTGCACAGACAGCCCACAGGCCGGGTGAATTCTTACCTGACCACCTTGGCCTGTGGCTATCTGCAAGGGTGAGCAACATATCTGCGCTACAGACTCCCAACCCAGGTAAGACCCTGACAAAAAGACTTGAGCAATATGGAGTCCGCAGAGATGTGCTCACCCCTGTTCCAACCAGTGTCCAGCCTGGCCCAGACTGTTTTGGAGTTGCAGCAAGAAATTTTATTTCTTAAAGGCGCAGTACGTCCAGCCCCGGAACCAGCTTATCCTGAACCGTTTGTCATCATGCCCGACCGTTTTGATGGTAGCCGCACATCCTTTCAGTCCTTTAAGATGGATTGTGAGGTGTTGTTTTCTTTAAAGCCTCGAACATATGCCACAGATTTCATCAAGGTCCGAGCGGCTATCAACCTGTTGTCTGGATGCATCAAAGTATGGGCTCACCAAATGTTGCAGACAAAGAGTTCTGTCCTTGTCAGCTGGGAATCCTTCAGTACCGCTATGGACTCACAATGCAAGACCACTGTGACCAAGCCAGCTCCACGTACCAAAAAATCTCAGATTATTCGTAACCAAGAAACCCAATACCACCACTACACCCCAGTGATGTCTCCTTATGATCCTGTTCCTATGAAAACTCCTGAGGTATCCTGTGTTCCACTCGACCCTGAGGAACCTATGCAATTAGGACTTGTTCACTGCAAAGTGACACCTGAGGAAAGAGACCGAAGGAGAAGCCATGGCCTATGTTACTACTGTGGAGAAAGAGGGCATTTCATCACACTTTGCCCTGTTCGTCCTCCTAGACCTCCAGCTCTCCGACTGGGTACTACTTTCCTCCACCCTGTGTACACTGCATGCCAGCCGTGTCCCCGTCTTGTGACACAAAAGGGTACCCAAACTACTACAGTCAAAGTTACCAGTGTCCCTCAAGAACCTGCAACCAGTACCCCTGTGAAATCTCCACCTCCTGCTCCAGAAACCTCTAGACCTCTTCCTGATGACACTTCTGCTCAAGCAAGCACCATTACCACTTCCTGCCTTGCCAAAAAAGTTCTGCCACCTGACTGCACGTATGCCTCAACTGGCACAGTTGTATGCAAACAGGATCTAGAAATATTTGAAAAAGCATTGAAAGCTGCGAATACCTCCCCTGTGAGAACTACTAGAGCAAAGGCTACAGTAGGTGCTGTGTTTCCCTCTAATCTGGAAGAAGGCCGTACGTATGGCATGGATGCCTATGGAAGAACGTACCTCCTGCCAGATGATATATTTGATCTCTCAGAGGAGAAAGGTACTTCTGATCTGGAAGGTAATGATGAGCAACCAAATCACACCCGGAGAGTGTTCTTGAAGAGGGGGTCCTGTCACGGTTCTCGCCGCAGACGGCCTGACGTGGTCCCAACAAGGGACTTGAACCGGGGAACTTCGCAGTCCTGGTCCTGCTTCCTTCCTCTGAGCCACAGCAGCTTTTGTATTCCACATGTCATTCTGGTCCTATTCATCCTGGCATGTCTATTACTCTGGGGGCTGTACCTTGACTTTGGATATGCTTCACCTGACCCTGATCAGACATTAGCAGGGTATTTAAACTCAGCCTCGCCCTGTGATCAGCCTCAAGTCTTTGATCCTGTTGTGTGCTTTGTACCAGTGTTCCTGTCGTTTGAGCTGCTACTTGTTATTGACCCTGGTTTCTGACTACGTTTACTCTGACCTCTGGCATCCCTTGACTTCGGCTACTCCTCGTTGTTCCTGTCTTCTGGCATCCTTTGACCTCGGCTATCCTTTGACGATCCTGCTGTTTGAGTCCTTGTCTGTCCTGCGACTTGGTACTTCATCGTGCACAGACCCACAGGCCGGGTGAATTCTTACCTGACCACCTTGGCCTGTGGCTATCTGCAAGGGTGAGCAACATATCTGCGCTACAGACTCCCAACCCAGGTAAGACCCTGACAAGGAGGGAGGGAGTGAGGGAGAGAGTGAGTGAGGGAGAGAGTGAGGGAGTGTGGATAGAAATAGATAGATAGCTAGAAATGGATAGATAGATATAGATAGATAGAAATGAATGGATAGATAGAAAGAAATATTCTATCCTTTCTATGAAGGATACCACGGTCACGCATATGCGAGAGTACATCTCTGACGTTTGCTCCTAGCAGACAAAACACCAGGAACTGAAGAGGAACTTGTGAAAGAAGATGGTGGTGCCCATGATGTACAAATTCAGGTAAGTAAAAACTACCTTCCCCTGCACTCCGTGCCCACTGTAATGTAAGCGGAGCAGTCACCATTTGGGGGGCAAAGACCCATAAAATGTCAGAACCGTTTACGAATGGTTTAACCATAAAGCTGTGTAGACGTCCCCTGTCTGTTCTTCCCTCTTCTCCTCAATGAGAGACTTGAACTGGGTGCCAGTGAAAGGCTTATAATCACTACCTACCAATCACTAACTTCCTATCGAGAAAACCACAAGACGGGTATGTTTAACTAGTTTAAAACTATAAAGTAAGACAATATCCAGGACTTCAGCACCATAACAACTTCCCTGAGATAAATCCAAAACAGAAATTTAATTTTTCTTATTTTGTAGTTTTGGCACAGAAATCCCCATATATTTGAATCCTCTATTTATTACTCTCCTTTTTCTTTACCACTATAAGGTTCATGTGTTTGTTTACTCACATCTTTCTACAGGGGTTAATCTCGCATTAGGAGTGTGAACTAAATAATTAGATTTTTTTATTTGGCATGGCAGGTCACACTATAGAGACTTGCCACTTATTGTTCACAAGAATGCTTATGTACACTATTATATTTTTTTCCACAAATTGTGCTTTACTTTTATGTGTATGAATTCAAAGGGAAAAATTATACAAAATTCGACAAGCAGTCTTTTTGCAAGGAAGTGGGGGGGGGCAGACACATTAAAAAATAAAGAACAAAAATGCAATAACTATTACAAATTCCAGACAGTGAATTTCTGTATTTTCACAAAAAAATAAAAAGGCTCAATCATGACCTTACATTGAAGTTCGTCACAAAAATCCCCTCTTTCTTAAATCTCCGAAATGTTGTATCAGCTGCTAAGCTTGGCCTTGAAAATGAAAAATCATATACAGTGCTAAGACAAATTTACTTTAGTACTTCATCTGGACAGAGACTGATGTTTGGGCAACTCCTTCGCCTCCCCCGTTTTTGGGGGAGGAATCAATGCGTTTTTACAACCTGCTTAATAAGCATGGCCTGGGAGTGGGTGCAAAGTTCTTTGATGATGAACTAGATACGAGAAGACAGCAAACGTGAAGTGTCAGAACATTATGGTTTGCCATTGTTTTCTGAGCATATGGGACACATACGTTTGCAATTATGCTGTAAAACTGAGCAAAGGAGACTTGATATTAATAGAGCTGTCAAGGGATGTGAGACATACTTTAAGACCCTTATTTTTGGAGTTTTTTCATGTGATACTGGTATTTAAGAACCAAACAAACAAAAGAAATGCTCACATGACCAAAACTAAAATTGTCCTTCACAACTATTTACAGTGTTACTATGTAAACCACTTCCTCAGAGTATCTTTAGCCAACATTTGTAAATAAGGTTTTGAAGACACGTTATGAGGCTGATGGCCAGTTGAACAAGTATGTTAGAGATCTTAGAGACAATGAGGAGAACGGAGATAGAGTATGGGGTTGTACGAGTGTGGAAGTGAAGAGGTGGGTATAGGAAAGTGAGGGGAGGGTGAAATGTTGTAGAGGGATTTGTATAAGAGAATAAAAATGGTTAATATATAATTTTGGTAGACAGGATACCAGTGGGACTGCTGCAGTAGGAAGGTGACAGTAGTTGATAGGGATAAATGAAGGAGAATACAGGAAGCTGCATCCTGAATGTATAATGGTTAGATTATGGAGGACGAAAATACAGAAGACATGCCTGATAAAGACAAGGAGTGGGAAAAAGTTTCACTTGTGAGAAGTTGATGAAAGGATGGCACAAAGACCAAGAAGACTATAGAATGCTAGACATTCGCACAGAGTGTATAACATGTGCACAGGCAAATCCAAATTGCGCCGCTGAGGTCAGCACATGAGAATAAAGGCTCCCCCTGGCCAGCTACTGGCTCACTGAGGAAGGTTCATGGCTGGTGGGGTGATCTACGATCTCTCTGATCAGCTTGATTACCCTAATGCTCCTGTGGGTACAGATCAAGTTCTTTGCTCCTTCTACTATATCAAAGCTTTGCATGGGTCACCAGGGCAATGTACTGATACTTTCCCCGGTGCCGGACAGAATGAGAAGTCTGAAATCACTACAGGTGCAAACAAGATGCAACTCCCACCAGAGATCAGGAATCCCCTTTCCCTGGCTCAAGATAAGCCACAAGGGAGGGTGGAATAAACTTTAATTATTTGTAAAACAAAACTTTTTTGTTTTCATACTTGCCCAGCAACCCCAACCCATCCCACCCCCCACAAGCCACAGCCTCAATCTCTCCCGACTACCGCCCTATGCCCCACATACCACAGCCCCTATCTTTCCACACTATAGTGCCTATCCTTCCACCTATGAAAGTCCCACTGGTCCATGATCACAGCCAAACTGGGACACCATGGAGCAGGGCCAAAATCACAACCCCACTGGATCACCAAGGAACAATGCTATGACCACCAGGCAATTAAGATCATAGCCACCAAGGCAAAAATAGCATTTTAAAAAAAAAAAGAAAAAAAAAAGCAATTCTAATGTGCACTTGGCAAAACAAAACACACTAAGCTACCAACATACAGCATCACTTACAGCTACCCACATACAGCCCCTCCCCCCACACAATCATACACAGGTACACCCATTACTTCCCAAAAGCCGTACTGCACCGCTACAGTCCATAACGAATGCTGCTGCCAGACTGATTTTCCTCTCTAGTCGGTTCTCTCACACCTCACCCCTCTGTCAGGCCTTACATTGGCTTCCTGTATGCTATAGGAGTCAATTCAAGGTACTAATTCACACCTATAAAGCACTGAACAGCTCTAGCCCCTCATATCTCTTCACAGATCCATAGGTATGTCCCTTCTCTGTCTCTCCGCTATGCCTGTGACCACCTCCTGTCCGTTGTCCGCACCTGTACGGCCAACTCACGCTTGCAGGACTTCTCGCGGGCAGCTCCCTTCCTATGGAATAGCCTGCCTACCGCCATCAGACTCTCCCCTAGTCTTGCATCCTTTAAGAAGTGCCTTAAAACCCATCTCTTTAGGAAAGCTTATGGCCTCCCAGATTAACCTCTACCTTACATACCTGTCTCTTGCTCTCTCCTAAAGAACAGCCAACCTTATTTGACTGCAAATTCCTGTCCTATTGTGTTTTACACCCCACCTCCTATATAATGTAAGCTTGTTTGAGCAGCGTCCTCTCCAACCTATCATTCCTGTAAGGCTTTTGTAATTGTCCTATTTATAGTTAAATCCCCCCTCTCATAACATTGTAAAGCACTACGGAGTCTGTTGGCGCTATATAAATGGCAATAATAATAATTACTTACAGCTACCTACATATCTTTCACTCCCACACATCATGCACTGCAACACAAATCACTCAAAGCGATTTACGCACAGCCACACATGGAAGGCCACTTACATCATACACACTGATACCCCATACACAGCCAAAACACATGTAACACACATCTAGCAGACACATACACAACACAGTCATTACACCACCCACACACACACACAAACAGTAATACAGTTAAGTTGTTAAACTGTTTTAAAACAGTATGAGAAATTACACTGGGAGATGCCAGGAGAGTCCTGGTACCATAACCACTATAGGTTTTGTTTGTTCCTTTAAAAATTATTTACTTTTTAAAAATAAAATAAAATATAACAACGAAAAAACTCTCGGTTGGACACCCTAATGATATGTCATGCTTGAATGAAATTTACATCATAAGGAGTGAATGGATGTCTGTAAGGAGAATCGGGTCAGCAAAATGTCAAAAATAGAGTAGAGGGAGGAATTGAATTACAATTACTTATATAACACCAACAAATTCTGTAGCACAGTACAATATGTCAACAAGACAAAATTTCATTCATTCCAGGATTTCAATGATCAATTTAAACTTTTTTTTAAATTATTATTATTTTATTATTATTGCAATTTATAAAGCGCACACAGATTCCGCAGCGCTGTACAATTAGTTGAGAAACGTACAATATACACAAACAAATACAAGAGGTAAGAGAGCCCTGCCCGTAAGCTGATATCTAGCCATTGGAGCTCTTTTATACAAAGTGCTTAGCTAGATGGCCCTTGAGCTTACAATCTAAAGGATACCAGGGGGATTTGAGACAAAAGGTAGCAGGGGAAGTATGGAGGTGATGACTGAAAGAGTTAACAGAGAAGCAGCTATTGGTAAGATGTTAGGGGAATGAACAGGTAATTGGGTGAGAATCTCGAACAGCTGGAAGAGCATGCTATATATTTAAGGGGAGCCTGGGTGGGCGGGAAGTGGGGAGAAAAAAAATGCAGTCTTCACCGAGTTGATTGTGAAGTGAGGCCTGAGAGTGATGGGTGTATCTGCAGGATGGTAAATGCAGTCTTCACCGAGTTGGTTGTGAAGTGAGGCCTGAGAGTGATGGGTGTATCTGCAGGACGGTAAATGCAGTCTTCACCGAGTTGGTTGTGAAGTGAGGCCTGAGAGTGATGGGTGTATCTGCAGGATGGTAAATGCAGTCTTCACCGAGTTGGTTGTGAAGTGAGGCCTGAGAGTGATGGGTGTATCTGCAGGATGGTAAATGCGGTCTTCACCGAGTTGGTAGTGAAGTGAGGCCTGAGAGTGATGGGTGTATCTGCAGGATGGTAAATGCAGTCTTCACCGAGTTGGTAGTGAAGTGAGGCCTGAGAGTGATGGGTGTATCTGCAGGATGGTAAATGCAGTCTTCACCGAGTTGATTGTGAAGTGAGGCCTGAGAGTGATGGGTGTTTCTGCAGGATGGTAAATGCAGTCTTCACCGAGTTGATTGTGAAGTGAGGCCTGAGAGTGATGGGTGTATCTGCAGGATGGTAAATGCAGTCTTCACCGAGTTGATTGTGAAGTGAGGCCTGAGAGTGATGGGTGTATCTGCAGGATGGTAAATGCAGTCTTCACCGAGTTGATTGTGAAGTGAGGCCTGAGAGTGATGGGTGTATCTGCAGGATGGTAAATGCAGTCTTCACCGAGTTGATTGTGAAGTGAGGCCTGAGAGTGATGGGTGTATCTGCAGGATGGTAAATGCAGTCTTCACCGAGTTGATTGTGAAGTGAGGCCTGAGAGTGATGGGTGTATCTGCAGGATGGTAAATGCAGTCTTCACCGAGTTGATTGTGAAGTGAGGCCTGAGAGTGATGGGTGTATCTGCAGGATGGTAAATGCAGTCTTCACCGAGTTGATTGTGAAGTGAGGCCTGAGAGTGATGGGTGTTTCTGCAGGATGGTAAATGCAGTCTTCACCGAGTTGATTGTGAAGTGAGGCCTGAGAGTGATGGGTGTATCAGTGCAGGATGGTAAATGCAGTCTTCACCGAGTTGGTTGTGAGGCCTGAGAGTGATGGGTGTATCTGCAGGATGGTAAATGCAGTCTTCACCGAGTTGGTTGTGAAGTGAGGCCTGAGAGTGATGGGTGTATCTGCAGGATGGTAAATGCAGTCTTCACCGAGTTGGTTGTGAAGTGAGGCCTGAGAGTGATGGGTGTATCTGCAGGATGGTAAATGCAGTCTTCACCGAGTTGGTAGTGAAGTGAGGCCTGAGAGTGATGGGTGATCTGCAGGACGGTAAATGCAGTCTTCACCGAGTTGATTGTGAAGTGAGGCCTGAGAGTGATGGGTGTATTTGCAGGATGGTAAATGCAGTCTTCACCGAGTTGATTGTGAAGTGAGGCCTGAGAGTGATGGGTGTTTCTGCAGGATGGTAAATGCAGTCTTCACCGAGTTGATTGTGAAGTGAGGCCTGAGAGTGATGGGTGTTTCTGCAGGATGGTAAATGCAGTCTTCACCGAGTTGATTGTGAGGCCTGAGAGTGTGGGTGTTTCCAGGATGGTAAATGCAGTCTTCACCGAGTTGATTGTGAAGTGAGGCCTGAGAGTGATGGGTGTTTCTGCAGGATGGTAAATGCAGTCTTCACCGAGTTGATTGTGAAGTGAGGCCTGAGAGTGATGGGTGTCTGCAGGATGGTAAGCTGCATTGTGATGAGTGAGAGTGATGGGTGTTTCTGCAGGATGGTAAATGCAGTCTTCACCGAGTTGATTGTGAAGTGAGGCCTGAGAGTGATGGGTGTATCTGCAGGATGGTAAATGCAGTCTTCACCGAGTTGATTGTGAAGTGAGGCCTGAGAGTGATGGGTGTTTCTGCAGGATGGTAAATGCAGTCTTCACCGAGTTGATTGTGAAGTGAGGCCTGAGAGTGATGGGTGTATCTGCAGGATGGTAAATGCAGTCTTCACTGAGTTGATTGTGAAGTGAGGCCTGAGAGTGATGGGTGTTTCTGCAGCATGGTAAATGCAGTCTTCACTGAGTTGATTGTGAAGTGAGGCCTGAGAGTGATGGGTGTTTCTGCAGCATGGTAAATGCAGTCTTCACTGAGTTGATTGTGAAGTGAGGCCTGAGAGTGATGGGTGTTTCTGCAGGATGGTTTAATAGTTGCAATGTCTGATTTTTTTTAATTCAGAAGTGATACTGCTTGTTGTAAAAGAGATTTCTTATTATTTTTACATGAATACTTAATGCCTTTTAGCTGTACATCTTGACAATACAGACTGGGAAAAACACATAGAAGATTAGAACACCCTCCTCAAATGTATACACAGACCAAGTTCCGTGTTCATGCCCCTTCCTATGGAATGTAACAACCTATTTTATCTCCATAGCCCGAACTATCAACACTATCAAGTTATCTACATACATCAACGCAAGGAAGCCTGCTAAGCAAGAATTACTTGGAACTTGGAGCCAATAAATAATATAAAATCACCAAGAAACCAAATGACTCCATCACAAGGGTCACCACAGAATGACTGTCATTACATCCTTGAAACAAAAACGTTAATTAGAAACAGTAGACTTAGGTTCAGCAACAGAGAGAGGTGAGGATACAGAAGGCTCAAAAAATGTTAATGAAAAAGACAGAATACATTATAACATGTTCTGAGACAACAACATTACATAAAATCGTTCGCACATACGCAGATTTTTTTTCCTTACTCTTGTTATAGCTGCATTGTAAACGTAAGCACTTTGGATCCGAGAAAAGGTTCAGGAGAAGTCAGATGGCAAACCACCTCAGTGGCACTTAAAGGGTTAATGTTCGCCTATTTAACTCGAAAGAAAGACTTGACATTACCTCTGTGTGAATCCAATGTGCAGGTGGATGCAGGTTATATTTAACAGCCAATTCTAAAATGCCTTCTTTTTCCAGAAGACCAGGACTTGAACAGATTGAAAATCCTCCCACTGTAGATACTCCAGGTATAAATAAATCTACCCTACAAGCAGAAGAAAAAACAAACATTTAAAAATGTATTTGTTTTGAATTATTCTCTATTATTTTTTTATTTGAATACATATATTAAATGTTTAATAAAATATCACCAACTTGTGCTAATCAGAGAGAAAGTCATGTGACCATTACATTTCATGAGTCACATGATACAAATTGTCCTGCATGTATCAGAACAAGTATATGACACATAAAACAAGATAAGTCCAGTCCACCCAGAGTGTCACCTCCACGGAGCAGGCAGTGTGTGCATCCGTTTATTTTTGTTGTGGGACCCCTTCCTATCAATTCTCAATTTAGTACCCCTGAGAGAGTACATATGCATTAATATATAGCTATGTTTGTAAGCAGAGACTGAATATTGGGCTAACTGAATGAGGCCATCAAGCATATCGTCCACAATAATCTGACTCTTTACCCCAAAGACAGTGAATAGTACTGGTTGGTGTTGCCCTGTTAGAGCTAGCTTTAAGATCTGCACAGACAGAACTAGGTACCAAGGTTGGCGTGCCATTTGCATCTTGGTGACATACTGACGTTGAAATCTTGATATTACCAAAACAGAGGAGGTTGGCATATACAAAAAGATTAGCTTTTCTATTGCTATTACACATTTTCCTATTAAATAGTATGCAGTTTTGCAAAATGAAAGCATATCTTATAGCAGCAATAATGGAAGTGGCTCAAGAAGTTGCTAATAAATACATCATTTTTCACAGATTTGTCTGTAGTTACCTACGGATCAATGGTCATTGTTGGTGTTAACACCAACAGACATCATTTTAACCCCTTAAGGACCAAACTTCTGGAATAAAAGGGAATAATGACATGTCATGTGTCCTTAGGGGGTTAAAGGGACACTGCAGCTTATTGTAATTGTCATGATGCAAAGAGTTTTTGGAAGAAGAGTTTAAAGGTTTTTTTTTTTTATAAAAGCATTAAAAAAAAAAATAAAAAAAAAAGAACACAGGAACTCTGTCACCCAAAGCCTGCTCACTCTGCTGCCAAGAGAATGAGGAACAAATGTGGAGGGCAATAATAGGCTGTGAGGCTTGAGATAAGCCATCGTCCATCACTCATAGCATGTCACTGCAAAACATCACTTTGAACCTCTCCAGGTATTCATAACAGAGTTTTTGATTTGCCATCATTTAATTGCTGCATAATACAATGTGTAATAGATTCAGGTTAAATACTGGTATCCCACAGTTAAGCCAGGGCTCGACAAATCCCAGGTGCCAGGTCGCCGTGGCAACTAGGATTTGTTAGCCTACTCAACCCCTGAGGTGGTCAGCTGCCTGTGAGTGGAGGCGGGCGGTCGGCCGGCTCATAAAGAGCATGGGTGTGCGGTTGGTCACCTGGCTAAAGGGAGAGCATTTGCGGGTGGTCGGTCGGCTGGTCTGGATGGAGAGCGTGGGATGTGCGCACGGGCAGGAGGCTCCTGGAAAATTGAGGCAGATGGGCACTCACGCGAGGGAGCTGTAACCTCCGTCCCTGCTCTGCTCCCTCGTGCATCCTCCAGTGATGCCTGGAGCCAGAATATGACGTAATTCCAGCCCCAGCATCACTAAACTGCGCTCTATGGAGCAGAGCAGGGAGATGACTGAAGCCCCACTGGACCCCAGGGAAAGCCAAACCACTCCAGCTCCAGGTAGGGAGGCTGGGTGGTCACCTTAATGTTTGTTGTTATTGCAGTGACAGTAAATGTGCGTGTGTGTCAGTGAGCATGTGTTTAGGTGACCGGTCCCCCTCCAATCACATAGGTAAGGAGAATTTACTCATCTTTTTCACCCACCGCAGAGCTAGTCTTGCCGCAGATGGCCCTGCCTCCATGACTGCGATCATCAATCTTGATGATCTCAGCCAATCCAATGCTTTCCCATAGGAAAGCATTGGGAGGCTATTGTGCATGTGTGGCAAAGCGCCATGCTGCGCCAATCAGCATATCCTCATAGAGATGAATTGAATGAATGCATCTCTATGGGGAACATTCAGCACTAAACGTAGGTGCTGCGTACTGTGCAGAACTGACCCAGGAGGCACTCTAGAGGCCATCTGAGTGACTTTCACTAGAAGTGTTACTAGGCAACAATGTAAATACTGCCCTTTTCTCTGAAAAAGCAGGGTTTACATTGAAAAATGTGGAGGGACAGGCTATACACGAGAACAACTACATTAAGCTGTAATGGTTCTGGTGACTATAGTGTCCCTTTAAGAATTGCATTTTTTACAAATCCTGGCTCCTAAATTTTTTTGCTGGCTCCTAGATTTGAAGCAAATTTGTCAAGCCCTGAGTTAAGCATACCCACAAAATGAAGGACAGCTGTGGCACACCAAGGGTTCTTCACGTGGGCCCATGTCCAATTTTTTTCTAAATTGTCTAAGCGTAAAAAGAAAAGTTGGCTGAAAAGATTTTGAAAACCAAGATTTAATTGCAATGAAAGGAGGGCTGCCATCCAAAAATAGTCAACACATTCCTAGTGTAATAAATGAAACATAATAAGCCATTTAAAATTCATTTTACCACTGGTTTTAAATTGGCAAAGTTTACTAGCCCTTCATTGCATTAATGAAAAGCATGTGGTGTGCGCACAGATTAACAGCCTTAAAGAGGTATGATGTAACACTGCCCGGCTTTTCAATTCATTTGGTTTGTTAAGAAATGTGTATACTATTGAATGTTATTTTAAAAAAAGAAAACAATGCCCATGGTATGTTCATGTGATATATTGTATGATTTAGCGAGGACCAGAATACAATCACATAATAAATGGAAAGCTTTAAACGAAGCAATTCTGCATGAGATCATTGCTTTCCTAACGGATATATATGCACAGCCTTTCGATCTTTGTACCACAATGACTCATTTTTAAAGATGCACGACGGCTCTATAAAAAAAAAATGTTGGTTTTAGAGTGATTGCTAGTTTTTTGCTATTAATTTACAATATATCATGAAAATCTGCTTTTTATTTATCTTCTTGGTCTTATTATTTTAAACTCCCTAGCATGTCACCTATTGACGACAATAACACATTTTTCCAATTTAGACCAGCAAACGGCAACCAGCACACGTTATAATAGTGTCCCCAATATTAATTACTTTAATGTTCATGTTACCAAAAAATTTTTTAAAAAATCCAAACCATCCTAAAAATCTGGACTTCACATAAAGGATGAGCAATGAGCACCCTCTAGTGGTAAAAAGTATATTTGTCATATGCTTGGTAGTATGGTATAAAAAAAAGGGACACAGCGTTGTATGTCTCCTATGTCTACGTTTTTTAATTGTGGATAACTACTATAGTTAGGAAGAAGGGGCACATTGGCTACTGGGATGAAAGGAGCTGGTTGAAAAACTGAACATTTAATGTAACTAGGAACAGAAAACTATTAAATAAATTATCCAATGACACAACCACTGTTTCTTTCTGCACCCTAAAATCAAGCTGAATTCTTGCCAAGTCTATGGTAATCATGTCAATGGTATTCTTCTAGTACCAACAAGAAAAAGCCACAAGTATGTTTGTGGCTCCTTTCATCTTGAAGAAGAAAGAAAAAAAATAACCCAAAAAAACAACAACAATAAAAACATCTCAATGCACTATGGACACTGCGTCACATTTTTTAAATTTTTTTTATTTGTGGTTTATTCAATTTTTCAAAGAAATCAAGGGTACAGAAAGCAAACAGGGAGATACAGGGGGTGCAGCCATTAAGGCAATCCATCCACAACATCTAGGTAGCATTGCCATCAATACAACAACACAAAGTCAGTGATCAACCAGTATACTTTCGATTCCCTGTAAGAACCTCTATCTCCTGAACCCTTTATGGAGTCCGAGGAGTTAGAATTTACATGGCTGGGACCTCCGCATCTAATATGGATCTGTAACCCACAATCAGTGACTCTTGTGTCAGTGTCTGTTGCGTTTCGAAATGTGATGTATCAAGTCATTAGATAGTCATGGTTGGGGGAAGAATTGGGGGTGGGGAAAGAGACCCTGGGGATATAGTCACAGGCCTCCATGTCTTGTAGTATTATACGGTCATATAACTTGGAAGCTGTACATTTTTTTAGCCGTATCCTAGGCAGTAGGTATGCCGCAGTAACGGTGTCTGGTTTCGTAAATCAGCTTATTTCGCCTACATGATGCGACTGTTAGGGTCTAATCAGATAGGGTTGACTAACAGTGTACTAACCGAACACATAGCAAGGCGGGAGGGGTGGGGTAGGGGGGGATAAACTTGGGATTGGTGATGACGACTTATCCATGATAATCCTTTAGTAAGGTTGTGTATGTGTGATCCACTTCGAGTTCTCTACCCCACAGCAACCTCCCCCGAGGCCACAAGGCCTGCCATTCCCTGCTCTCGGTCGACTGTCTCTGTTCTTATAAACTGGCACATCTGGGACATTATATCTTCTAGTTTCTGGGGCTTAAGTATTTAACTAGCCTATGTCCCATCAGATGCAGCAGATAGTCTTTTACTGGCCATGTCATCCCTATTTCTGTGTATCTTGTTTGTGGATGAGACTAAGCCAAGGTTTCCAAACCTCCTCTACATGTTTGGCTTTATTGTATGAGTCTGTGGATAGGGTTTCATATCTGTAATATTGGTGTGTTTCAATAAGTTCCTTCTTGGAAGGGCAGTATGTTTGTTTCCAATTAAGGGCTTTAAGCTTTCTGGCCGCTAGTATAATTATAGTTGCAATTTGTTTGGACTCTGCACTCCATGTGTCTGGGAACAGCAGTAATAATCCAATGGATGGTGTAAGTGGAGTGTCCGTGATGTGGTGATCATAGAGCAGTGATATTGAACCTTTTTGAGCCCGAATGCCCAAACCGCAATACATGCCAACTTTTTTTTCTTCAAAGTGCCAGCACGGCAATTAAACCTGAATACACACAGACAGACTGCTGAGTATACACAGACCGCTGAATACACAAACTGTTGAATACGTACACACAGTACGCTGAATACACACAGTCTTCTGAATACAAACACACACATACTGCATTGAGGAGTGCAGTGTATGTGTTTGTGTGTGCAGATGTGGAGTGTGTGTGGGGGAAAGGGTGTTGTGTGTGGGGGAGGGGGGTGTTGCTGCAGGTAGCAGCACTGTGTGTGTGTGTGTATGTATATATGTGTGTGTGTGTGTATATATATATATATATATATATATATATATATATATATATATATATATATATATATATATATATATATCTCCACTCATGGGCAATGGGTGTGTTTTTTTATAATCCTACCTATACATTATTAAAATCTTCCCCCCCCCCCTCCTCCCTTCTTCTTACCTTTGATGAAGGAGGGGAGGAGGGGTACACAGCCAGCCCTTGTGGTCCGGTGGTGGTGAGTTCTCTGTAGGTTCTGGCTGCAGCTCTCCTGTCCTCCCGCGCGCAGAATGCTGTGTGGAGCGTTGCCATTGATACGAAAGCAGAGTAGGCGTCTGACATTTTGGGCAGGCAGGTGCGTACTCTGCATTGCTGCCGACCGGCATCTGTCGTGTACCAGTGTAAGGTGGTCGGTGAAGGGACGCTTGTCTCTCGCTTTTATGTGTAGTATGCTTTTCAATTGTAAATATGGGAAAATGAATGAGTTCCGTAACTTGTATTTTGTTTGTAGTTCTGGAATAGGCAATATAGCAGATTGTGAGCATAAATCTTGAATGCGATTTATTCCTACTGCTGTCCAAGATTTTAAGGACAGCCATGGAGAATGGAGACAGTGTCGCCAGAGCCGTAAGGAGGGCTTGTAAACAGAATTTAGTTCTGTCTATTTTAGTGTCTTGACTCATTCCAGACCCGTAGAGTGAGTATGGTGGTTGGGTAGAAGTATCTGATCCAAGTCCATAGGATGTCTCGTTGTGGACAAGTAGGTGTTTTGGCACACTCCATATCCACCCACTGGAGAGCGTCCCTGGGAGCATGGAGTTTCACTGCGTGTTCCAGTATTGCAGTTTTGTAATAAGTTATTCGTTTTGGGAATCCCATACCTCCTGCATTAGGTGGGAGTTGGAGAAGGGCATGTGCTTCACAATTTTTAAGCAACATTACAAGCACAATAACCACTGTAACCCACTGTAGTGGTTGTGGTGCAAGGAATACCCCGGCAGGATCCCACGGTAAGTAGTCAAACCACTAAAGTACAGTTTGACAACTTACTTAGGTCCCGCTGGGTGCCTGCTTCCTCCTCTATTCGTCTCCTCTGTAGGAGAATCCAGTTAGCTCTATAGAGCGAAGGGACGGCATGTAGGCACTAATGAGAATTGGTTTGGAGAGGACAGCTTTTGTATTTACAGTTCTTTTAAAAGCCACATTATTATTGTTATTTTACATTGTTACATTACACCTACAGAAAGGGCGAAAAAAAGCGAAGTAAAACTATTCGACTCATGTTTGAGGGCTCCTGCTAGTTATTTTAATCAGAGCTGCCAGTAGCTCTTTTTCTAAAAAGTTGGATATTTGCAATTGGTCTTATTTAAAAAGTGTCAACATATTAGGCGACGCTGTACAACAGGAATATAGAAAGAATATAGATAGAAAAATGTATAAAATTTATAAATCCAGCAAGTTTAGGTCAAAAGAATTTAGGTTAACATTCCTCTGTTAAAACATGGTTACAATCTAATTATTTGACCATAAGCAGGGCTTCTACAAGATACTGACTATCAGCTGTAAATTGACTTACGATTTAAAAAAAAATTTATATTAAAAGGGACATATAGTCACCAGAACAACTACAACTAATGTAGTTGTTCTGGTGTCTATAGCCTGTCCCTGCAGGCATTTTGCTGCAAACACTGCCTTTTTTAGTTCCAATGGGAAAGCACTGTGATTGACTGAGATAATCAATTCTGACGATGTCAGCCAAGGAGGCAGATTGGGGAGGGGCCAGAGCCGGTAGATCTGTGGTGTGCTAAAATAAAAAGAAAAATGAGTTGTTTTTTTGTTTTGTTTTTATGGGGAATAAGCAGGGGGAAGGGGCAGCCACATAAAAAGACAGAGAGTCAAGAAGAAGGTGCCCAGTCCCAGGATAGTGGATACACCAGAGTAGAGTAACACTCTTTTGTATTTTGAATTTTATTATAACAATTTTATTTTTCAGACCCAACAAACACGTTTGTAATATATAGGTTATAGGGAAATATAATATTAAAATTCCTGGGGCATGACAGTTCCCGTTTAAATTCAGTGCAGTTTGTTTTGTGTGTGTGTGTTTGTTGTTGTTGTTGCATTACAATGGAGTACAGCAATACCAAATGGCCTTGTATTTCATTTTGAAACACATACTTAGTAATGGACTGTTATCTCACTGGCTTAAAGCATTTGTACAAGGCAGTTTAATATTTTTTTTAATTCTTTATTTTTGCTGGTTTAATATTTTATTCAGGAAACAAATAAATATCAGTGGCATATGTCTTGTGATTTACAAATGCAGAATTATATTTTAAAATTGACTTTATAATAGTCTATACATTTTGTTATACAAAGCACAACATTACTGATGAACATGGATTCCACAAACTTGTAGTGACAGCCATTGTACATGCTTTAATGAGAACGTGGCCATTTCCTAGTGGGATATCCTGTTTACTGCACTGCTGGCAAACTTATTGCATTTATAGCAGTAATGTAGGAAATGGATCTTGTGCTAAATCACGCGATTGTCACAGGAGTAATCATATGATGAAGATCCTGATGTGCCTTCCAATCGTTAATTAAAAAACACAACCCAAAAAAACCCAAACCCATAAATACAGCTAGAACTCCGTTATAGTTAGTTTGGCGATATATGATTTACTATCTATATGTACACATATGCTGTATTGACTCAAAAATAAGTCACTAGTTGTTAGGGAAGTGTGTACTAATGGAAATGAATGCAACCTTGCTGTTTTAAAGTGAGAACTGTCAGGAATTGAAAGTGAATTCCAAATGTAAGGCAGGTAAGGAAAGGGATTTTACTGTTGGTAGAGGATTTTTGAGAAATTATAACTTCACGTGAGATATGTATTTAAGTCTGGGATCTGGGTATGGCCAACCAGCGCTGAGAATAATTTTATGTTTTTTAAATGCAACTTTAAAATTTGTGTCATTCATTGTGCAATCACCAAGCATCAAGATTTTCACAGTATCTGTAAGCTGATGTTTTTATATATACAGTATATACTCGAGTATAAGTCGACTTTTTCAGCACATTTTTTATGCTGAAAAAGCCCCCCTCTACTTATACTGGAGTGAGCGCTTCCCGAGGTGGGAGCTAGATTTAGGTGACCGGCAGGAGGGAAGCGCACAGCGCTCCCTCCTGCCGATCACTCAATGCAGCGAATGACAGGAAGTGCTCACTCAGTGAGCGCTTCCCTTCAGTCCGCCAGCGGCCGGGTACAGGAAACAGAAGTTCCTGTACTGCGGTCCGCGCCGCCCGGCCACGCTACATAGCCAATGAGGGGGAAAGGACCACGGAGGAGGTGAGGGGGAAAGGACCACTAAGCAGGTGAGGGGGGAGAAGATGGAAAGGACCACTGAGGAGGTGAGGGGGAAAGGACCACTGATGAGGTGGGGGAGAAAGGGAAAAGGACCATTAAAGAGGTGGGGGGGAGATGGGGAAAAGGACCACTGAGGAGGTGGAGGGGAGAAGGGAAAAAGGACCACTGAGGAGGAGGGGGGAGAAAAATCAGCAAATTCTGTCTGTAATGCAAAAGTCTGTAATGTGACTGTAACTCATGGGGTAATCTGAAGCTTTGCATTGCATTTTGATACCAGTAGCTGCTGCATTTCCCACCCTAGGCTTATACTCGAGTCAATAAGTTTTCTGAGGTACAATTAGGTGGGTCGGCTTATACTAGAGTATATACACACACACACACACACATATAAATATACATATACACGCAGTGTGCTTATCCACACATCAACATTGTACTTTACCCTACAATCCCTTAACTCATCTCACCATGTACAGTTCATTTCATCTTCTACTCAAAACAACCACCTAATTACCATGGCTTTAAATAATGCACAGACAAAAAAAAAAAAAAAATGGTTAACATTTCCAAATTAAAGCGACACTATCAGGCACCTTACCTTTCTTTAATTGCTTCCTCTTCTCTACCTCTCTGTTCTCCGTTTCTTCCTGTCTGCTCTAGTTTTCTTTAAAACATAAGACAAAGTAGAGACTACTTTGTCGTAGAGACTACTTTGTCTTATGTATTTTTCCTATGCCTGACCAGCTACGACCAGTGGAGGAGCAAAGTGTGCTCCATTTCCTGTGGTCAGAGAAATTCTACAGAATTTCGTCCTAAAAGAATGGGAACAGTTTTTTCAATTATGTTAAGACGTCATTCGGTACTTTTAGGTCGAATCAAAATGTAATTTTAATGAATGAAATTCCGATCTGATTCGTGCCGCGGCTGCATTTTGCAGCCGCTTAGTAGATAGCTCCCTAATACCGGGGGAATTAGGGAGCTATCTACCAAAAGGCTGAAAGACCTAAATTGGTCTTTCAGCCAATTTCACTAATACTAAGTAAAGATTACTTTGTATTAGGGATAAATCTGCCCCTACTCGCTATGCCGTGAGTAGTGAGTAGAGGCATGTCTACTAAATAGTGAGCAGTCAATAGCTGCTCACAGTTGTAAAAATAAATAAATATATATATAAAGAACCCCTCCCCCCCAAATAAATGGCCCCATGGTGGGGCATCTATTAACTAGCAGGTGGGGGGAACCCGTGCCTCATGAGTGGGTGCTATTCAAATAAATGGGGACATAGGGTCCCCCCGGCACCCACCCATGAGCGGTGGATGCGGGCCCTAAATGAAAATCGGAGGGGGGGGTGGGACCTATTGTCCTTCCCCTTCCCCCACCCATGAGCGGCGGGTAGGGGCCCTAAATGAAAAAAAATTTGGGCTGATTTTTTTCAACTCGCATTATGGATTTTTATTTGCCCCTTTTTTGGGGCTGAAAAAAGAAGACAACAAATGGTAAGTATTTTCCATTTACAGGTATTTAGTTTTATTGTCTCCCCCCTCTCTATTTTTAGGGTTAGGTGGGTGGGTAGGGCTTATTTAATTTTTTGGGTGGTGGGGTGACTAGGTGCTTGGGGACCCCTAGTCACCCCTGGGAGGGGGTATTTTTACATTTAGCCCCCCACCCATTGCCCATGAGTGGAGATATATATATATATATATATATATATATATATACACACACACACACACACACACACATATATACATATACATATATACACACACACACACACACACAATACCAGTAGAGAGCACTCAGGAGTCTTTCAAGGTAAATTTCATCTGTTGCTTTATTGAGCAATTACAAATTCACACAACGTTCCAGTCGACGTTTCAGTCTGTAAAAGACCTTTTTCAAGAAAAAAAAAAGTCTTGAAAAAAGTCTTTTACAGACTGAAACGTCGACTGGATGTTGTGTGAATTTGTAATTGCTCAATAAAGCAACAGATGAAATTTACCTTGAAAGACTCCTGAGTGCTCTCTACTGGTATTGTATACAATTTGGTTGGAGACAGCACCGGAGCATTAAAAGACCTGGAGCATTGAGTGCTGGGACCTGGGAGATTATATATATATATATATATATATATACACCCATAGAGTGAGGGAGGACATGGGGGGGTCTTAGGAAGTGGTGGGGTGGGGTGCTGCTTCCATTTTTACAAGGAGGGAGCTGCGCACAGGTAGCTCTCTCCTTGTAATTAAACTGAACAAACAAACACTGATATTCTGTGTTTGTTTGTTCATCTGAAATTTCTATTCATTCCTTTGTCTTTCTGACGAATGAATGGACGAAATTCCCGTAGAGAATGCTCAAGTGTTTAACTGGGCATGCGCGGGAATGTCACAGCTCTATCTAGCATGGGCAGATGACGTGTCCAACAGGGACTTTATCTACCAACACAAAGATGGCGGCGCCCAGGACCTAGGTCTGGGCACAAAATAAAGATTAAAAAATAGGTAATATAGGGGGCTTAGGGGCATTTTGGAGTAATTAAGGGGACAATTAGATGTACTGGAGTCGAGGTGGGGGGGGACTCAGCCAGGACAGCGCTGCTTTAAGAGTATCTGTGTCACGCTCAGAAGACCAGAAAAATCTATACACTCAATTTCCACTTAAAAGACACAACCAAAGGGGACTAATACAGAAATATTCATCTTACCATTGCCCCGCTTTAAATGAAAATTCACTGTTGGCAACAGCAAGTCGTACCCTCTTCACAGTCGCAGATTCATCAGTGATCCCACAGACATTTGCAGGAGAAATAATCTGAAATGAACAGTATGCAAGTTGAAACAAAACTATAGATGACATACAGTCACTACTAGTACGTGGTTACTAGTTGTTAAATGCATGACATACAAATGTTTGCATTGTAAGAGGTGGTGTATGTGTAAAATGGCTGAAAAATGGAGATGTGCAGCATCTACAAAAGTCTTACAATTCCAACAATGCTATACCAGATAGGGAGCTACCACTTGCCCATCCTTGCAGGGTTGTTTTTGTGAGCAGTGTTTGCGCATTTAAATGTAAGCATGCTTCTGGATTGCGTATGTATGTGCATTTAGGGGTCTATTTGTATGTACTGTATCCTTTGAAATACAGTGATGTACTTGTGAAGTGTTTTTCATTTAAATAAATGGATGTGCGTTATTTCTTTAGATGTCCCCAGAAAGTGAAATTAATGCTCAAATAGATTCAGTTTGTGACTCAAAGAATGTTTTCTTAAATTAATTTTGTTAAGAATGTATGTGACAGTAATGAGATTTAGAATATGATGTTATGTAACTAAAATGTTGTAAATAAACGTCAGAGTTCATCTAGAATAGACAAGTGAGCCATCTCCAGTGGCAACCATAGATAAGTAAACCATGACTATAACCTCCACTACATTTCAAGTATTAGGTGATATGCTTTAGAGTTTAGATCATGAACAGTTCTTGTCATTTACAGATGTGTTCTCCAACCAGAACTTAAGCTGGCTGTTCTCATCTGACCACTGGCACCATAAGCACTACAGTTCAATGTACTAGCTTTGATGCTAAGATTATACAGTACCACACAGTGGATTTTATTGCCTCATGGTTGCTTAGAATTAACTCCAAATAAAAATGTCACACCCAGTTTTATTTACGTATGAAACAATGATGCAATGGCACGCACCTGGCCAAAAAAAAAAAGTTCAGCAGCCAAATATCCAATTACTTTTGGATAAATCAATATACAGTATTCAGAGCAGAATGCTTCAATCCTCCATTTAAACGTGTTGAATGGATACATTGTCAGTGTCTGTAGAGCTGCGTGCCATGAAATTAAAGTCATAGATTAATAGATCAAAAAAATGCCACAGACACACCTTTTAATAGCTGCAATTTCAAAAATACTATATATTTATTAAATACGCAGTTCCAAATAGACATGCAGTTAGCTAAACACTGCCGCATGTTTAACCGACCTGCCATTTCAGTCCGTCATCGATAGTATTTTTATGTTTTGCAGAATTGAATTATGACACATACCTCTAAAATAATACATAATCTACAAATGCAAGATAATTATTTAAACCAGCTTTCCGTGTAGGAATGTGTGGGTGGCAAGGTCTCCTTTAGGTAAGTAATACAATTTAATATATACATTCTGCTGTGTAGATTAAGTCTGACCTCTGCATGTACCTCTTGAGTAATGAAAAAAAGATCTTCAACATCTGTGTGGATTGTTCAGACAACTCAAGTTTCAGGTACTGGTCTGGTAGCACCCCTAAGCTCTGGCAGTAAAAATCAAAAAAAGATGTCCTACCATGCCATGCATCAGATATGGAATAGCACCCAAATGGCAAAAAGTTTTTCTACAATGACACCTTACATGGGCAAAACTAAAAAAACTGTCATCATCTCATAAAGGATCACGTAGCTGCCCCCACTGCCAGCTGCCATCCCCGAGAGCCTGCACAAGGCTACCTGTAGGAAAACTATGAGACGTTTGTTGCCTTTTAATAAATCTAAATATACAGATATACAAAAAAAAAAACATTACATACATAATGTTCAATGGTATATTAGCAATTTAAAAGGGATACTATAGTATAGGAATACAAAGCTGTATTCCTAGAACTATAGTTCCCTTGCACCCCCATCCCTCTCAGACATAGTAAGGGTTGAAATATCTTTACTGTACTTACCTGATTCCAGCGCTGATGTTCCTCAGCACTGGGTCGGCACTCCGCTCCCTCCTTCTGGGAGAATGCTAATGCTGCAATGTTTCCTATGGGGAATTGACTGATGCTGGATGTCCTCATGCAGGGCGTTAGGACGTCCAGTGTTAGTGAGGGACCAAAAGTCACGTAACGACCCGGACGTGCCTCTGGTGGATGTCTGATTGACAGCTAGTAGAGGCAGTCTTCATCCTGCAAGGTAATTATTGCAGTTTTTCAGAAACTGCAATAATTACCACTGCGGGGTTAAGGGGACAGGGACAGTACACCAAGACCACTTCAATGAGCTGCAGTGGTCTAAGATCCTATAGTGTCCCTTTAAACATGATGAAACATAAATAAACAAACATAACTTCTAAAAACTACTATGGTATTCATGTATTATTGGCTTTGCGTAAAAATCAGAAAAGCATTCTAGATAATTGTGATGTGGGCTGTAGTGAAAAATAAACCAATCTATGATGTGCAAAGTAGTTTATTTGAGCCTGAGCCGACAGATGCAGGTATAATTACAAGATGCCGGCCAGCATCGAGACCTTTTCATATGAAAAATATGCACGCACACAAAAACACCTTGTACCTTTTATACTGGGGAAAGGAGGTGAAGATTGCAGTACAGTTTTCACACTGAACACGAGAACAATCAGCTACCTGTGCTAGCACAATACATGATTTCATAAATCCCTGTATTTGCATTTTTATTGCATACAGTGTCTATGTATAGGAATAAGTATATTTCGATGTATAATTTCATAGTAAATTCTACTGCATGTCACAGGCACCATAAAAACCTGATCAGAATTAAGTGGTTATGGTGTGAGGAGGTCCCAGATGCTGGCTTTCTTCAAGGGGTTAGATCATAACCGAATGGTTCAACCCCAAAGTCTTCAATGCAGTGCCCAAACAGGAAGCATTGGCCTGGACTCCACTGATTCACGAAAACGGAGCAAAGAAATAATGTGGTACTCAGTCCAAAGCTTCCGGATTGAAGCCATGGCTGAAAAGAAAGTGAAGGGTTGATAGGGCAGAGCTGACAGCGCTGGATTGAAGACTTTAGGGTTAAAGCGTTTGTTAACAATTTAACACCAATTTAGGTAAACTGGTGCCTGGGACTTCCTCACACTATAACAACTTAAAGGGACAATATAGGCACCCAGACCAATTCAGCTCATTTGTATTGATAAACAGCAATAATTATATTACAGGGATAACTCCACCTCTAGTGGCTGTCTACCACTTCTGTGTGGTTAGGTGACTTTTGGTCGACTGACACTGGATGTACTCACGCTCTCCATGAGGACATCCAGCGTCATCTAAAACCCCACAGGAAAGTATAGAGCTATGCTTTCCTCTGGGGTAGTCCTAATGCATGAGTTGCTCTTGCCGCGCATGCGCATTAGGTCCTCACCGCCAGCTGATGTCGGTGGAAGAAGAGCGGAGATGGAGCCTGACCATGTGCTAAGGGGCATCGGCACTGGAATTAGGTAAGTGACAAAAGGGTTTTTAACACTTCCAGCACCACAGGGTTGGGGGCCGGTAAGGGAGGGGGGCATTGTAGGTCACTATAGCGCTAGGGAAAACAACTTTGTTTTCCTTTCATTATAGTTTCCGAAGATGATGTTACAGTGTCTGGAGTGTGCCTTTAAAGCCAGAAATCTAATAATAGAACAAAGCAAGAAAGTACTATATGTTTCTGGATTTAAAGTAATACAATGCACAAAACTACTCCAGATTCTTGGTGATTTCTAATTTTCCAATTGTAGGTTTTTGTTGCTTAAGGTTTGACGCATCATTGTAAAAACCAAGGATGGATTCAAATAAATAAATAAAATTATATTCCTCCTGGCTATCACCTACAATGTTTTGCTACTGCTATTTATGCACCCCCATAGTTAGCAGTTTACCTTAACAATTGATCAATGATCTGGGAAGGGAAAAGACAATTACAGAGATGGGAAACCCAAACAAATATGCTTTCTTAGACATATCAAGCAATTTGCTAATCCACTTTATTTCCACAGAATTGTGAATGAACGCTTCTATTCGTTCCAGACACTGTGGCTCACTCTTTGCCAGAATTACTCTGTTTCTCAAACAAAACAAAAATGAAATGACTTTTACATACAAACACAATAAGAAAACAGAGAATGTTAAAAAAACACTAATCTGCAACAGAGATTAAAAGGAAAAAAGGCAGACAGACACACAGAACTTACTTCTTGTCTAAATTTATTTGCCGTTCTCTCCAAGTGATCTGTTTTCCTCTTTGAAGTCATTTTCCTTCTAGTTCAAATAAATCCAGATTTCAGGGTTATAAAGTAGCATTGGGTCTTCAGTGAGCAGACAGATGATGAATTCATATTTTTTTTGTCAAGGTAACAATAGAGAAATTATACGGTATGGTTGCAAGAGGCTCTCCAGTGCAAACCCACCAGACACAAGCTGTTTTTAACAGCACAGCCAGAATTAATGGGGCTAGCGGTTTTGCACTGAATAACATGCATTAGTATAACTTACGAAAGGCCTCTGTCCTGTAACAACAGCAACAAAGATCTACTGTTTGAGAGTTTGATGAGAGCATCTCTTTCCTAAAACAACAGAACTGCCATCACATCACTTTGCAAACAATATTTAATAGTGCCTGCAGACAGATCACCCACCTATTCAGGGAACAGGCATACAAAGCACGGGCCCTCGACAGCAGTGATGTCGACTGACTAGTGAAAATTCCAGTAGTCCCTCTGAGCACTTGGTAAGCAGCAGACACAGCAGCAAGTGCCATGGTTAAGGTACTAGCCAGAGGTCCTCCCTGCAGAGAGAGTAAAAAGCAGATTGATCAAAATGGTAACTTGATGTGCTTAAACAATTAAAATCATTCGATCAGTACATCCATCAGCATCATTCAGCCAATATAGAATGGAAAGACTTTTTTTTAACCCTTCACACAGGTGATAGTTGAGAGACATTTAGGCGGATATCGCCGTTAAAGCCTTAGCTAAGCTTTCGTCTCTCAATAAACCGCTCATGCTTTTAAAATACTCTAGTACAGGGGTAGGCAACCTACGGCACTAGTGCCATGCACGGCACTCAAGGTGTCTTTGCACGGCACTCAAGGCTGCTACAGCCAAACAGGCTCTGGCCTATCAGGAGTCCCAGTGAATCTTCAGATAGCTGCTAATATAAAAAGGTGGTGAAGGACAATCTTCAATTTATGCATTGCAGCACATAGAGTAAGTGATCTCAGATCACTTCCTCCCAGCACTTGTGAATGGGAATCCACAATATGGTAGGGCAGCCTGTAGCTGCTGTTGCAGCTCCTGTCCTTGACCTGTACCTGGCCAGCCTGGTCCCCATTGGAACCCAGGGAAGCCACCCACACTGCTAGATTTACACATAAATGCATAATAACCCTCCACTCATACAAATAATACAAACAGCCCACAAGCAAACATACATACAATCCGCACAAACATAACCTGCTAACAATCCACATACATGCACACAACCCCACATGCAGCCTCTCACATGCAATACCCCAAACAGCCCCCGCACATATTCACACTACCAAACACAAAATGTGACATTTCCATCCACACACACACACACACACACACAATTCCACAAGCAGCCCCCATACACCGCCCACATTTATATGTATCATACACGATACCACAAACTACTCATGAACATATACAATATAATAGCTCATATATGCACAAATACAACGATACAAAGCAATTACAGTATAAATAACAGAAGCAGAATACAACAGCATACACACCTCAATTTAAAAAAATAGGACCGGCACGCTACGGGACATCACAATCCTATATCGGCACAGTGATGCTAAAAGGTTGCCTACCCCTGCTCTAGTATAATAAAGTGGTTATACTAGTCACTACCCACCAAGGAGGTGGGTGAAACAAGATTATACTTTTTTTCCTTAAAATTGCAATAAGATATTTTCCTATGTTTATTCAATTGTGTTTTGTTAGCTTTTTCTTATATTCTATATCTTGACTGATTTATTTTCAATACCTTTATTACATTTTGATTCCAACAAGAACAAGTACCGGTATAAAAATCATAATTAAAAAGAAAACAAAAAACAAAACAATTTTTAGTCGGTGGAAAGAACCAAAATATTAAGAATGTATATAAATAAATACACAGACAGAGATATTATAAGTATATATTTGTTTTACCAAAATGTTAAAGTGATAGGAGTCTGTTTGCAAAAATAGGAGGAGGTGTGTCTCTCCATATGGCAACATTTCTTATCCTACACGCCATGATGTGGCTATCAAACCTATTTTGAAAAGCTCTACACTACACTGTCAGTGAAATAAATGTTTGGCTGACAATGTACAACACATGGTTCCTCTGATTTATGGAAAGGAACTTCTTCATCACAAATCATCTGCTATTGTTTATTGACTTCCACATTTGGCAAGGTTTTTCATTATTCTCAGATTATTTTTACGCGGATGGCGAACCAGCTGGCAGATGAATCTGTCAAACCTACCAATGTGTTTGCAAGAAAAAAAAAAACAACGTATTTTTTTTGTTCCCAGTAACCAATGAAAAATAGGCCTCATTCATTCCATCAAGCTAAGTCAGTGATTTGATGATACAGTGAGGGAAAAAAAATATTTAATCCCCTCCTGATTTTGAACGTTTGCCCACTGACAAAGAAATGATCAGTCTATAATTTTAATGGTAGGTGTATTTTAACAGTTAGAGACAGAATAACAAAAAAAAGAAAACAAAAATCCAGAAAAACGCATGTCAAAAAAGTTACAACTTGATTTGCATGTCAATGAGTGAATTAAGTATTTGACCCAATTCGATTTAGTACTTGGTGGCAAAACCCTTGTTGGTAATCAAAGAGGTCAGACGTTTCATGTAGGTTTGTCCCACTCCTCTTTGCAGATCCTCTCCAAGTCGTTAAGGTTTCAAGGAGGACGTTTGGCAACTCTAACCTTCAGTTCCCTACACAGATTTTCTATTGGATTAAGATCTGGAGACTGGTTAGGCTACTCCAGGATCTTAATGTGCTTCTTCTTGAGCCACTCCTTTGTTGCATTGGCTGTGTGTTTTGGTTCATTGTCATGCTGGAATATCCATCCACGACTTATTTTCAATGCTCTGGCTGAGGGAAGGAGGTGCTCACCCAAGCTTTGATGGTACATGGCCCCGTCCATCGTCCCTTTGATGCGGTGCATTTGTCCTGTCCCCTTAGCCGAAAAACAACCCCAAAGCATAATGTTTCCATCTCCATGTTTGACGGTGGGGATGGTGTTCAAAGGCAGCATTCCTACGCCTCCAAACACGGTGAGTTGATTTGATGCCAAAGAGCTCGATTTTGGTCTCATCTGACCACAACACTTTCACCCAGTTCTCCTCTGAAATCATTCAGATGTTCACTGGCATCGTCTGACGTGCCTGTACATGTGCTTTGAGCAAGGGGATCTTGCGGGCGCTGCAGGATTTCAGTCCTTCACAGCCCAGTGTGTTACCAATTGTTTACTTGGTGAATATGGTCCCAGCTGTCCCAACAATTATATATAATTTCTGATTCATGTATCGGTTTTCCTACATCATTATGCATTAGACCGATACGACATATGACAATTTTTCAGCTTCACCAGATTTTCTTCCTACTTATATCATAGTAGGCAATCAGTCTGATATCAAGCTGACACAATTCTCTCAATAGACTTAAATTATCTTAATTTTTACTTAGTTTGACTGTATATCACTACAAGCATTCATTTTTTTCTGCATAAGATATATGAACTTGTGCACAAGCATATAGTTTTTATAAATTTCATATTTCACTGTTTAGTAGACCTCGGTCTACTTCAGATTTTTTACATTTTTGTGGCAATTTTTACTAGCCAATCCTATTCCATTTCCACTACTGACTTGTGTCATTAGTTACGTTTACTTGTATTCTGCACTTGATCTGCCTGCTTCTGCTGACATCAGCAAAAGTATTGTTCTGAGCCAATCACGATGATTTCCCATAGGAATGGAATTAATGCATCTCTATGAGGAATGTTAAGTGTCTGCATGAAGGGGATGGAGACACTGAATGCTCACTGTGCAGCACTGCCCCAGGAAGCACCTCTAGTAGTCATCTGAGGAGTGGCCAGTGGAGGTATAATTAAAATAAAACAAAAACAAACAAACACAAACAAAAACGCAGAATAGGCACCCACTATAATAAGATAATGGCCAGCAGTGAACCAGCAGGGATTCCCCAACCCTGCCTGAGTAGTAACAAGTAAACAAAGAAAGTGTGGTAAACCCACTCCCATACTCATTGAGAATGACAGTGATTGAGATGCAACCGCAAGAGAAACTACATCTCCCATGATGCTACAGGCAGGGTCGCATGACATCATTTAAGGGCAACACACACAAACCCGGAAGGATCAAGCAGCACACTGGATTCTACTTATCGAACATACACTGCCTATATAAACTGGGACATTTTAAGATGCAGCCACACTTCTGAAGAAGCCTATTCCTGGGTGAAACACGTAAAGTGACTTTGGATACTTGTTTCATTTTGGTTTTATACAAATAAAGCTTATATTTTAATGTAACTTTAGTTTGAGTATATATTTTATTCCACTCTTCATCTACATCCTGCCGCTTCAGATCCAAACCCTTCATATCCCAGGTGGGGATTATACCACCAGAGCAAGTCATTGCACTGGATATTGTAAGTAGAATACGGTCTTCTTTTACTTATATTTAAATATATGATATATTATACCATTGGGTTATTTTTCTGTTATATTTCCTCTACATGACTAATGAACACTGAGAGGCTACTGCACTGAGAATCAACATATCCCTAGACGGGGATTATACCGTCAAGGCGTTTACCAGCAGAGCTCTCAGTAGCTCTCTAAAGTGTGAGTTGACACTTTGTAAAACTTCATTTCACTTTTTACACAATTGGTATTTCTCTCTCTTTGAGGTCCCCCAAAGATTATCACAAAAAAAAAAAAAACCTCTAAAAAAATTTATGTATATATTTGTAAATTAGCATAATAATTGAACACAATATTGTAGTTGAAGTAATTCACCTTATTTGATGCGGTTTACCACACTTTCTTTGTTCACCAATGGCGGTATCCCTAGGCTGTAATGTAAACACTGAATTTTCTCTGAAAAGACAGTGGTGACTGTGAAAAGCCTGAAGGGAATGATTCTACGGACCAGAACAAATTCAATAAGCTGTAGTTGTTCTGGTGACTATAGTGTCTCTTTAAAGGTAAAAAGATGAATTGCCAAACTACTTTTTTTTAATCACAGATGTACAAAAACAAACATTCATGCATACATACATCACATGTCTATTTGGGAACAACAGCATAAATTCTACACAAGCTCTGCAAGTATATGTATTTTTTAAAGGTGTTTCAAATTAAAATGGCAATTTGTAAACCCAAATCTAAAACACAAGGATGTTTTTACAATATGATTTCAACACAAAGAGTTAAGTCTTGCATGACCATTACAGGCTGCTCTGCAGTGGAATTCAGGATCATCGGAGCTCTAGAAGGGTTATTACATTCTATTATTTGCCTGATTAGCAACCATTTGCTATGCAACAGAAGCTATTATGGATAAGACACCCCCCCCCCAAGCACTTACAAGGATGGCATTATTCTTCAATTATTATGAAAGATGGATATTAAAATTAGATACATCTTTTGTATAGCCACGTAGGCGAGGATGCTACCACATAGGCCATAAAAGTGCTCGCCAACATCTCTTCTTTACAATTTTACAGAAATCAAAATGAGAACACAGACTGTAGCATCATTGAGGAGATGATTATAGGAAATGGTAGGAAAAACACTCAAGAGTTGTGTCTCTTTAATCAAAGAATTCTTCTGTGGTACGAATAATAAAAAGGACATTTGCATGGAGGTGAACTGATGAAGATTGAAAAACAGGAAACTTAGGCATCAGTTTTCATTTAGCACTCAGGAACATCAGTGGCATAGAAGCAGTATATTTGAGAATTATTTTTAAATCAAGGGGATTCTACGTAATTTAAAGAGCCAATTATTTATTAAGTAAATCTATTTTCTTTCTTTTATACAGGCAGGAATAAATCTTAAAGGGTTTCTTCACCCCTGTTTATTAAGCTACAGAATAATGTCCTATTGGCATTATTCTATAAGTCTCCCTTGAAATAAACAATCAAAAAACATTTAACCCCTTAAGGACTGGACTGTTTTTGCGATGTTGTACATTTGCGACCAGGAATATTTTTACACTTTTCTGGTGTTTGTGTTTAGCTCTCTCATTTACTGTTCCCATACAAATTATATATTGTTTTTTTCAGGACAAAAGGGGCTTTCTTTACATACCATTATTTATATAAACTCATGTATTTTAATTAAAAAAAAAAAAATGATGAAAAATTGAAAAAAATACATGTTTTTTGACTTTTACTTGAAAAATCTTTTACTCATCTACAAAAACGAATGAAAAAAACAGCTAAATAGATTCAAAATTTTGTCCTGAGTTTAAAAATACCCAGTGTTTACGTGCTTTTTTTTGCAAGTTATAGGGCTATAGGTACAAGTAGGATTTGGCGGTTTCAAAACATACATTTTTAAAATGTATCAATAGTGACATTGTAACACTATTATCTGTCATAAATCTCTGGAAAACACTGCACATGTATATATTTTTTTTAAAGTAGACAACCCAGGGTATTCATCTAAGGATATTTTGACACTTTCTATGCAGCCATTTTACCACAAGTCTTTGCCAAACTTTGCATAGGTAGTTGGTTTTGTTTTTGTTTTTCACATACATTGCAATTCAGGTATAAACTTACAAATCCTGTTACGTCTTGCTGCCAAAAAACACACTAATATATGTTCAGCAACATCTCCTGAGTACAGTGATACCACCCATGCATAGGCTTGTCGGATTGTTTGGGGGCTAAAAGGCCACATTTGGCAGGTGCGCATATCCATTTTTCAACTTGGAATTTTGACATGTAGTCAACCTGCGCACATGTCCTATTTGGGACATTTGTAAGGCCGGCCAATGTATTTTACCCCCACCAAACCATATATTTTTGGAAAGTAGACACCCTAGGGTATTTCAAATGGTGTTTTTTTAACACTTTCCATGCACTAATTCTACCACCAGACTTTGTCAAACATTTAGGTAGTCATTTTTGTGTGTTTTTTTTCACACACATTGTACTTTAGGCATGAATTAACAAATCGTGTTATGTGTCACTGCCAAACAACACGCCAATATGTGTTCAGCAACATCTCCTGAGTACAGTGATACCACCCATGCATAGGCTTGTCGGATTGTTTGGGGGCTAAAAGGCCACATTTGGCAGGTGCACATATCCATTTTTCAACTTGGAATTTTGACATGTAGTAAACCAGCGCCCCTGTCCTATTTGGGCCAATGTATTTTACCCCCATCAAACCATATATTTTTGAAAAGTAGACAACTCAGGGTATTTTAAATGGTGGTAGTTTAATACTTTTCATGCAATAATTCTACCACCAGCCTTTGGCAAACTTTTGGGTAGTAATTTTCTTCGTGTTTTTTTACACATACATTGTACTTTAGGCATGAATTAACAGATACTGTTATGTATCACTGCCAAACAACACGCCAATATGTGTTCAGCAACATCTCCTGAGTACAGTGACATCACCCATGCATAGGTTTGCTGTGTTGTTTGGGGGCTAAAAGGCCACAAGACTTGTACATATCAGTTTTTCAACTTGATATATAGGTATGCTTGGCCTATCTTCAGTTTGGCATATTTTTGCATCCCCCCATTAATGTTAACATCATGAAAGTTTATATTTTTATAAAGTAGACATTCCAGAGTATTGTATATGAGGTGTTTTCACATCCTTCCCCCAACCATTGTGCTAAACAAATTTCAGAGAACGTGCATGGTGGTAATTTTTTAATTCTGCTTTTTATGCACACGTCATCTGGTTTTGGCCAGCCAGTTATATGTTACTACCATAAAACTTTTTTAACCAAATGTGCAGGTATCAAATGCACCTTTAGCAGCATTCTCTAAACTAACTCCTGCAAAAATAATCTAATTGGAGATTTGGGGGGAAGGAAACTGACTAACTAAAATTTGCTGCTTTCAAAGAAAAAAAAACAGTGCAAAGGGGTGTCTGTCCTTTTCCCTTTTTTATAACAGACCCAGCAACATTTCAGGGGATTTGTTTTTTTTGCAGTTGGCGGTATCTTAAAAATAAAATGTCTGGACTCCTTTGGCACCGTTGTTGGAACTTGACCATCTCCATAAATTATTGTGGAAATCAGCTTGAACTAAAATTGGAGAGAGGTGGTTCTTTCTGGATTCATTTTTTTTTTTAAAGAGTAAAAATTAATTATGTGTTGCTACTTGCATCAGGTAGATAGCAAATTGATGGCTTCTTTATAATCCCCATGAGAATTGTAAGAGCCCAGAATTTTTTAAGTTCAGCGACATCTGTGGGATGCCAAGCACACTCCTCCCTGACTGCATAGCTATCTGGATTGGTATCAATAAATTGGGTAGCATATAAATTAGTCTGGGGAGCAATCTCCTCCCACATGGTATCCCCTAAAAATAGCTCCATATATTGCATAGGGGAGAAGTCATCCACATTGACATTAATGCCTGTGTTGGCACTAAAAGGGGTGATTTGGGGCTCAGCTAACTGTGGAGAAACCTGTTCCTCCTCCACATTCGGCGTAGCAGAGAAAGCACAGCTTCTTTTTGCAGCCGGTTCACACACAGATGACATGTCAGAAAACTGACCTGGGTCAAAATCGGACGCAGTGTCAGTGGCGTCAGAGTCTGACTAACACAGAGTTACTAACACACAATTTTTTTTATTTTATACTAAAAACAGACTAAAACTGATAAAAACAGACTAAATGAGACTAAAACTTCTGTTAGCAGCAATCTGTAAACTAACTCCTGCAAAAAGAATCTAACTGGAGATTTGGGGGAAGGATACTGACTAATAGAAATTTGCTGCTTTCAAAATAAACAAAAAAAATAAATCAGGAACAAGTATTATAAAAATGTATTTTCTGTGTGGTAGACCTTAAAACATGCTCCAATACACAGTCCAGGTTTTGTAGGGCAATCGGGACAGTGAAAAGGGGTGTCTGTCCTTTTCCCTTTTTTATAACAGACCCGGCAACGTTTCTGGGGGTTTCTTTTTTTTGGTGTTGGCAGTATCTTAAAAATAAAATGTCTAGACTCCTCTTGCACTGTCGTTGGAACTTGACCATCTCCATAAATTATTGTGGAAATCAGCTTGAGCTGAAATTGGAGATAGGTGGTTCTTCCTGGATTCATTTTTAAAAAAAGTAAAAATGAATTATGTGTTGCTACTTGCAACAGGTAGATAGCCACCTTTTTATACCAGGCTTTTGTCTTTCTTAAGATAAGATATGGCTGCATCAGCTGATCAGCCAAATCAACACCCCCCATGTGCCTGTTATAAGCCCTGATGCACACCGGTTTTGTCTGTACCCTGCCTCGGACAGTGACGTCTGACATGCCCTCGTTATGGATGGTTGTTAGCATGTGAACATCCTTCCTGTCCTTAAATTTTAGCGCAAGCAGTTCAGCTTTGCGCAGAGCTTTGCATTCCCCTTTTTTTAATTTGGCCTCTATGAGAGGTCTGGGGAAATCCTTGGCATTTCTTCTTACAGTGCCGCAGGCCAGTGTCTGTAAACTATAAAGAATTTTAAACAAGTGGACATTGCTGTAAAAATTGTCCACATAAAGGTGGTAACCCTTATTGAACAAGGGGATCAGTAGGTCCCAAACAAGTTTCCCACGTGTCCCCAGAGAGTCAGGACAGCCAGGAGGGTTCAGTTGAGCATCTTTCCCCTCGTATACACGAAAGGCTAATGTGTAGCCACTTCCGCTCTCGCAAAGTTTGTACACTTTAATGCCATACCTAAACCGCTTTGAGGGGATATATTGTTTGAACCCTAATCTCCCTTTGTATTTCATAAGGGATTCATCAATAGATACATTTTGTTGGGGAGTATAAACTTCAGAAAATCTGTGCTGAAGATGGTCTACCAGTGGGCGTATTTTATGAAGCCTATCATATTGGGGGTGATCTCTGGGGTGACAGAGCATATTGTCATTGAAATGTAAGTATCTCAGCAGCAGCTCATATCTTGGTCTAGGCATTGTTTGGGAGAATATAGGAGTCGAACAAATTGGGTTGGTGCTCCAGTAAGACCGGATTGATGGCTTTTTTATTATCCCCATGAGCATGGTAAGAGCCCAGAATGTTTTAAGTTCAGGGACATCTGTGGGATGCCAAGCATGCTCCCTGACTGTATAGCTACCTGGATTGGTGTCAAATTGGCTAGCGTATAAATTTGTCTGGGAAGCAATCTCCTCCCAGATGGTATCCCCTAAAAATAACTCCATATATTGTATAGGGGAGAAGTCAACCACATTCACATTAATGCCTGCGTTGGCACTAAAAGGGGGGATGTTGGGCTCAGCTAACTGTGGAGGTACCCAGTCCTCCTCCACATTCAGCGTGGCAGGGGAAGCACAGCTTCTTTTAGCAGCTGGCTCACACACAGATGACATGTCACTAGACGTGCCGATAAACTGACCTCCTCCAAGCTGTACATGCGCTGCATGTTTCACACTAACAGACTAAACTAACAAAATACTAAACACAAATTATTATTTTTTTTTAACACTAAAACAGACTAAAACAGACTAAAACAGTAATCCCTAAACTAACTCCTGTTAGAAGAATCTAATGGAGATTTGGGGGAAGGAAACTGACTGACTACGACAGACTACGACAGTCTAAGACAGTCTAAGACACAGATTTTTTAAAATAAAGTTAACCCTTAAGGGAAAAAAAAAAAATACAGACAGTACAAATGCACTGTCTGTAACAGATCTGGCAGGGAAGGGGTTAAAATGGGATTTTTATTCACTGCAGATACTTTTTAATATTCTCTGGAACAGCTGCTGCAACAAACTATCACGATCTCTGTCTCTCTCCTCTCACAAAACGCTACAGAGGGGAGAGAGGCAGAGATCAGTGTCAAAGCTCACACGCCGTAATTGGCTGTTACTATCTGCCTGGGATGCCAGGCAGATAGTAACAACGGGATTTCGGCGGAAGCGATCTCTGATCGCTCCCGCCGCCAGTTTTCCATTAGGACGGTTCAGGACCGTCCTCGGTCGGCAACACAAAAATGCCGAGGACGGTCCTGAACCGTCATGCGTCGTGAAGGGGTTAAAAGAAGATTTACTTACCTTAATTCGGGTGAAGCTCCCAAGTGCACCACCATCTTTATTTTACTTTTTTTTTTTTTATTCTTTATTTTTGCAGTGCAAAGAAAACACACATTTATGGATACATATGACAAAGATACTGCACTGTTGTTTTGTTTTTTGATAACATGCAAAGAAGGCACATATAAGAGTTAGAGAAAATAACAACAGACTAGGAACGTTAGGCAAGTAAGATATAAAATGATAAGCAAAGCCAATGTAAATACAGCAGAGTATACCTGGCAACCCTTTATGAGCAAAAAACTATTAGCCAATTTCCCTCTTCTGAGCCAGCAACACTCACACATGTAACCACTCAAAATCACAGGACCTCCAGCCATCCACCATGTGGTTTGCAGCTCTACCACAGATCAGCTTTGTGAAATCAGTGCCCGCTCGGCAAGATAGAAAAGGTAGCACTTCAACTACATCCACTGTCAAGACCTCAGAGTGATTCTTCTCTGTGACCCCACACCGGACATCACTGGAGCTAGAAGGTAAGGACAGATCTGGATGTACAGGTGGACCAGGACTGGGAGATGATCACGATTTAGGTCTCTACGCCTCTGTCATACCAGAGCAACGTTGGATCTTCCCCAGAGACGCTGCTGCAGGGTCACTCCGGCAGGACGGGCAGAATACAGGCTGCGTCCCTTCTGTGTGAAGCAGCTGAGAAAGGCTGTAAAGATCTGCTCTAGTCTGCCGAGCGTGTTGCTAGGGTAAGCATAGAGGATAGAGTAGGCCTCAGACGTTGCCATCTTGTCCGCTACTGGGCCTTCGGCTCTTAGTGGTGCAGGTGTCTGTGGGTGTAGAACTCCCGGGACAGGGATAACCACCACCGGTCCAAAGGGGAACAAGGGCAGCAGAAGTAACCACCAGACTATGCTCGGTACAGACAAGCGGTCGTCCCTGCCGTACTGAGTCAGCTAGTAGTAGTAGGCCGCCAGGAATGCAGTGTTGTGAGAAGGTAAGATAAGGCTGCAGGAATGGTATCACAGTGGTCACAAGAGGTTCCCAAAACAGGGATGCCTGGAGAAAATGGTTATAAAAACAGGTATATTCAGTAAAATGTTGAGAAAACCAGGTCAGTTCAGAGGAGCTGCAACCATGTGCTTTCTCATAGCATGGCAGCCAAGCCCCGCCCCCGAATGCACCACTGTCTAACGTCACATGAGCCGCACTGAGTAAATATCAAAGGCTTCTCATAGAGGAAGGGAATGAAGCAGAAGGGCGAGCGGGGATTAAAATAAAAATCTGTCGTACATAATGCACAGAATTGACATTTGGCAGCCCGGAACAGAGTGAGCTGGGGGTGCAACTTGCCCTTAGCACACAATTAAAAATATCTCTGGATGTGCAGTGTTTCAAGCAGAAAAACTCCACATCCAGACTCCTACCACCATAACCAATTCAAAAAGCAAAAGCTTGAAAGAATAAATGCTTGTAGGCAAAGCTCCACGTTCACACCCTATTTCATCAGTTTGGAAAGTTAGTCAAATGTATGAGTGCAGGGAAAGGGACCATGCCATACTAACCAATTCAATAAGCTGAAGTGGCTATGGTGCTTAGAGTGTCCATTTAATTCATATTTGTGCATTAAAATATTTTCACCAAAACTGTGTGCAGTAAACATTTTTCTGTACGTTAAAATATACTTTTGCTCTCTGCCCCTTTTTGCGGTTACAGAGTCAGCGTTACTGTTTACTACTACTTGGTACCAATTTAAATTTTTTTTTTTTTTTTTTTTTAAATCACTGTAAATAAGCTTGATAAGGCTCATTTTTATCTAAGAAAGAAAATGGCAAGCCAAACCTGAAGGACACACCAGAAAAAATAAAAAGCTACCAAATGTTATGCAGCCTTCCAAATTGGTCAACAAGCATTGAGGGTATCCAGAAAAAGACACCCAACGCGTTTAGACTTCTCGCTGGGAAGTGGGTTTATTTGGTAGGTACACGCAGTGTGAACAGCACACGTATGAAGAAGAAAAGAAAATGAAACATTACACACAGATGGACGGCATTCCTAGGGATCAGAGTCAACAAATGCAGGACATAAGGTGACATGGTAAATATTCCAAATAGCTCAGAGCAAAGTTATCAAATTAGACCTTGCGCTTAGAATTTGCCATCCTCCATAGACTGCAATGAAGTGGGCTGTCCCTACATGCCACTTTGTAAAGTCGACTTATAGGATCTCCTTACTCTCTTGCATGACAGCTTGACATTATGACTCACAGCACCGGGAGGATGTAATGTCATAAGGATTCTCCTCTTGCTTTCAGTCAAGATGGCAGTGTGTTAGAGAGAGGCTTAAGGTGTGCAAACGTGTTGGGCATGTTTGAAAGGAGGTTACTAAAAGAACGCTACAATCTGGATCTGGCCAATTCTTTTTTAAAATATATGCAAAACGAACAAGTTAAAATGTAATTCTAATTTCAAGCTAGCTAATGATGCGGACATTGTCTGCCTCTGTATGTGAACAGTTTCTTAAAGAAATGCTACGCGCATACAGATAACAGGTACCATGACCACTTCAAAACACCTTAGATGGGCTGAGGGGAGGACTTGGGCTAAAATTGCTGAAAATAGACACCTTTTATGAACAGAATTAATATTACAGAATTCTCCTTCCATGCTTATGACACTGAAGTTTTCTCTCTGTGTGTGGATCGTTTCTTAGTGAAATGCTGCGCATACAGACTCCAAGTACCATAACTACTTCAAGTTACTGAAGTGGTCATGGTGCTTGCAGTAACCCTTTAAGCTTTCTATAGCACTGCTGAGATTATCCTATAAGTAACACAGTGATTGTCATCTTTCCTTCTGAAGAAGAAGCTGCATCACAACTTCCAGAAAGTCAAAATTGAAAAAAAAAAAAAAAAAGAAGAAGAATTAGCTTATGGAGCATTATTATTATTGAAGGAACACTCCAAGCACCATAAAGACAACATTTTCTGGCTCTCACTTAGCAGTAGTGGAGCAGGGAGCTGATCCTGGCGTCCGTTCTCAAAACACTTGGACTCTTTACAATTGATGGAGACACCAGGGTACCATAACCATCACAATGTGCTGTAGTGGTTATGGTATTTAGACTGTTACTTTAAAAAGATACAAGAGAATGTATCAGATAATGTAGATTTTTGTACAAACATAACCCTTTTCAAACAATTCTTCATGAATTGCATGGTTTATATAAAATAACCAATATAAAGCATTTTCAAAATTTGTTTAAATAAAATAATCTAGGGGGGGCGTGGCCGGACCAAGCATGGAGCTGGACGTGTAGAGCTTCAGCTCCTCGCCCCGTGCTGCTTTCTTAGCGATATTACCGCTGAACACTCCAGTAGCATGGTCCGGAACAAAAAGCTGTCATTTCTGAGCGTACCGGCAGCAAGCTCCCCACGCAAGCAGAAGGGCATGCTGGACGAATTTATGTCTTCGCAGCCCGAGCCCCGGACCGCCCGTGCTGCAGACAAGATGGCGCCGGGCTCCCTGAGCGCGGGAAGTGCAGGGACCAGCGCGGAGGGGGAGAACAGGGCGGACGCACTTACTTTAATCTGCCAGGAACTGGCTGCAATCTCGGACCCCATGCTGTCCAAGGCTTACACCGGGGGCCTCATACAGGAGCTCAGAGCGGCAGTGAGGGAGGAGCTGGCGGCCTTGCGCGCTGATCTGACCATGGTGGAGGTACGTGTGGATGCCCTAGAAACTGAAGCGTAGGCCTGCTAAACGCAGCACAGAGCCACAGAGCTGGCCACCACACGCCAGGGCAACCTCCTCCTCACGCTATGCCGCCAGGTAGAAGACCTAGAAAATCGCAGCCGCAACATCCGAATCCGGGGCCTACCGGAGCCGGACTCCGCACCGCTCGCGGACACTGTCTGGGCTCTCTTTGCGTAGATTCTGGGCAGGGAGTCCTCCGCGGACATACAACTAGATAGGTCGCCGGCCCCTTACCAGTCACAATGGGAGCAGGCGACGGGGAAGGACCTGTCAGATGCCGATTGGGAGAAGATTCATACTCTGGCACATCTGGGAATTGTTGACACCAAACTTAGGGAGCTTAACTACAAGCTCCTGACTGGATGGTACAGGACACCCGCTAGACAACACCAAATGGGCCTCACGCCAATAGCCCAGTGCTGGAGATGTGGGTCGGCAGAAGGCACGGACTTGCACATATGGTGGACCTGTCCGCCTATTGCCACCTTCTGGCGACAAATTCATGGGAAGCTGAGGGAAGTCTTGGATTCGGAGACACCACTGCTACCCCTCCCGATGCTGCTCCATCACACTGACATGCCGATTGGCAGATACAAAAAATCCTTAACGAAGCACTTCCTAAATGCGGCCAAAAGTCTAATTCCTAATAAATAGAAAACTCAATTAGTGCCAACGATCTCGGAATGGGAGGATAAGACAGAAGACATCTTTGTTATGGAAAGCCTTACGGCAGACTTACATGGCACTGGAGAACAGTGCTCCCGACTATGGGGCCCCTGGATTACCTACAGAGCACACCGACCCTCGGGCGCCGACCTGACTAATGCATGCCCTGAGTCGCAGGCCGCGGGCCGCGCCCCGGAGAATGGTGGTGGGTCCTCCTGCCCTTGACCGAGCCGCGACGCTCCTCACCTCGTCCCCCCATTCTGTCCCCCTCCACTTCCCTCTCCTTCCCTCTTCTCCCTCAAGCCCTTCCCTGCCCCTCGGAGCCTCTCACATGAACGGGCGAGGCCCGGCGGGGGTGCCACGGGCCATGAGGCGGCCAATTCGGCCTGTACCAGACGATCACCTGTGGACGGACTTTACCTAGCTTAGAACTGCGACACAAGACTGACGGACTTCCCTGCCCGCCACAGTCTCCGTCAGGCAAACATGGGAACCACCTTCATCCCTTTAGACCCGTCCCCACATAGTAGAACAGACCGCGGGGGGGCACTTCACCGACACGACCAGTGGATGACGGGAAGTGACTGGTTGGGGACTATATTGGGATACATGACGGGCCCCCCAGTGTTCCAGTAGGGTTGTTATGACACAGTATATACTCCCTGACAAGTAAAGACTAAGAGATTAGAGTTAAGGGCAGCGATCACCCCCGACTAATACTTCAAGGGAGGGAGACTAGAAAGTAGCAAATAGGCTGAGTTCGGGCAGGATAAAAACCGGAGCCATCATGTTGCCTCCACTACCCTGGGCCACATAAGCGACACCTCCGCGGGTTTTAGCGCAAGACCAGCCGTGCTCTGATACCGGCTACCAGTGTAACGTACGCATTTCTCTTGATAATAGTGGACTAACTGGCCTAAACGCGCATTCCTGCCGCCCGCTAGTAGCCATAGGGTCTCCCTGCTTAATGTAATGCAATGCAATGTACAACTGTTGTTGGCGTACCACGGCATGATCTTCCCAGTGTACTGCTGTGCTGAACTCTTGTATACTACCCTGTCTACTACCTTGTATGTATTCGTTAAAACGAAAATAAAGATTGTCAAAAAAAATAATAATAATAATCTAGCACAAACCTGTGTTTAACCCCTTAAGGACCAAACTTCTGGAATAAAGGGGAATCATGACATGTCACGTGTCATTAAGGGGTTAAGCTAACCACATCTGTTTAGGGTCAGGAATTCAAAGTATAAAGGCACATAAAATGCTTTCAAATACTACACACAAGACAGATTGTCTGAAACAAAAAAAAAAAAATTTGATCAGTATTGACTTTTTTTTTTTTTTTTATAATTATTTTTGTTGTGCAGACGATTAAAGGGAAGCTTGCTATGCCACAACAGCTAAAATAAGCACCATATGTTCAAACATAGTAAAATACAAGCATGGCATTGAGACAGTAGCACAATTTTAAAAGTAAGATAAATGTTAGAGAGATGCTAGAGAGATACTTTGAGTGGTAGAGGGTAAGAACAAATGCAGAATGGTACCTATGCACAGGAAAATCAAACTGAAGCTTGTATATGGTTAGTACCAGCTTATGCCCACTCACAGAAAAATATAAAAATAAAAGATAAAGAAACATGAGAGACATCTAAAAATATCATGCACATATGATTTCACTGTAGCATATATTAGACATGAGTTAAGTTGTAGCTAGTTTCCTGGGGGGGGGGGGGACACATGAAAAAGCATTATTTGGTATAGATGATATTAAGAGCATATAGTAAGAGTGGTCCCTGAACCAAAAACAAGGTTAAGCCATTGGATAGAGTATTAGAGCAATAATATGTGCTGTGCAAGAATAAAAGGAGTAAAGAACGAAAAAAAAAAAAAAAAAAAAAAAAAAAAAGTAAAAATTGCAAAGTATGCTTTCCAACAGAGAGAAGCCATTGGGACCTACATCCGGTGGAGTGACTGTAACCACCCAGACCACGGCCTAGTGCCCTAAAGAGAGTCCATGCAGTCAGCCCAAACCCTTGACTGGTTCAGCAGGGTCCCACAGAGTAGACTGAGGTCTAAGTGCAACAAGCTCGCATACACCCAAAGGCCATCCTGACTCTTCACACAAGGCTTCCCCAACTGAGCTGTCTGCACAAGGAGAGTCCTGAATCCATGCTTTGCGCCGTTTGACCCGGTGAGGTCGCCGACCCGACCTCCCATGCAGCACCTTCATCTCGTGGTCGCTAGGGTATGCCAGCGGGTATCCCCTCATGTGGCTCTGTGTAATCTTTCGGCCAACTTGGCGCAGAAAGCCTCAAAGATGTGATCTAGCTCTGACATGCTGTGGTGTAGTGGGCCCGGTTGACATGAGGCGGCCGCCATCTTAGGTGGGACTATGCACCCTTTATTCGTGCTTCCAACTCTTGCTGCAGCAGGTCCCAAGGTAGATGTGTGCTGGGATATCCCTCACCGGCAGGGGGGAGGAATAATGGGGCACAACCGCCGAGATTCTGCTTCCAGGTAGGTCGGAGACCGAGAGATCAGCCGTTTCTCAACTCCTCCACCCCTGGAAAGGCCATAGATAGGTCGCTCGAGCTTCCATTGCTAGTATTGGGGTATGCTGCTCTCATGAGGGACAAGAATCTTGCGGTGTTGTCACGCTTAGAAATCAGGAGTTTAGAGTCCATAGAGTAGATAAGCTACATGATGCTGCACGGAGCTCAGACAATGTGCGACCACTCAACATGGCGGTCAGGACAGTATTGACTGTTCTTTTAAAGAAAATGACTATAGATTTCATGACATTACTTTTGTTTTTTTGTTTTTAAAGTTATTGGTTAAAAGGGTATGATGTCATATGCAAATTAAAATCTGTAGTTTTTAAAAACTCTATGTCAGAGATTTTATTCAACTCTGATTAAAATCTGCCAAAGAGATGAACAAGTCATCTTCAAGAGGTACACACTATTTACTAAAATGGTAATTTGAGGTGAATTCTAAGTGAATTTCAAATTAAGGTCAAAAAAGTCAAAACTGGAAAAATTATCTAAGCTATCTGTTAAAGTGATATATTATGTTATACAAGTATTGAAAGTATCACTCTAAACAGCTGAATGGTGGGTTACAGAGCTGCTAGAAGATTTTTTTTGTAAACAACTTTCGTTTTAAAAATGAGTATGATATGAAAATTAAATACTTTGAAGTATTTTCTCCCCAAATGTTTGCTGCTACTTCCAAAAAAAATAATTCACAGGTTTCAGCTGTCAATAACCTGTCACTGCAGCAGCAGACTAAGGGGGATTTATTTTAATCCAAACTATTTCAGGTTACCACCTACACCATCTCCCTTGGCTGTTCACTTTAATATGATGGAAATCTTGCATTACCAGAACTTATATATTTATTTTGATTAATGTTACATCTTACTTTGCATATATTTATTATCTAGCATGACTACATTGTAACATTTGGATTGATGTTGTTTCCCCTGATTTATTTAAAATTTTCTTTATATTTGAAATAGTGTTTACTTATGATTTAAATTTGTTAAAGTAAAAAAAAGTAAATAAATGAAAATGATTGGAAAAATAATAAATAAAACGTGCATCACAGTGAAGTGTTTTACAACTATGAATTGTCCCCTAGGATGAATAACATGTCTCTAGCAGAGAGATCACTAGATGATTTGACATCTTACATTATGAGCTGATGAACTACTTGGTTTATGACGTTTATGCCATGACTGTGACGTCACGTTGTTTATAACTCCAAATCAACCCTTTCTACTCCACACCCTCCATGTAGCAGCAGTCTGAACCAAAGAAAGTCATGCCATTAGCTTACAATAGTCTCTAAGCAGTTACTTAAAGTATTTTAAGGGTCTCTCGGGTGATTACCTGTGTTGGAAGGTGACAGCAAACCTGGTTTTTAACACCGTCTAATCAGGAATCCGTGAATCCCCGGGCTTCACCGGTAAGAGATACAGCGGGCGGCACACAGGGCATTTTGCCGGTGGGTACAGGTTAAAATGTGACTTTGGGAACTTCCGTGTTCGTGACGTCATTACGCCGAGAACGTGTCTGCGTCACAGATGACGAGCTAGAACCAGGAAGCTGGTAGTGTTCTAAAATCTGTATGACTGTCAGGAACGTGGTTTGTTTGAATGACATTCTATAATCATAATGTTTGTGTGGAATATTGGGGTATAGGGGGAACTGGCTTTATTGTGATATGGATGTTTAACCATGAAAGCTTGCACCTATTGATAGTATTTATTCTGCATGTGTGGAGTACTTCCCTTTATTGAGAGGTAGGTTGTTATTAATAAAACCGAAATATTAATCATGAATTAATACTAATTAAAATTATTGAAGGACCACTATAGGCACCCAGACCACTTCAGCTCAATGAAGTGGTCTGGGTGCCAGGTCCCTCTAGTGTTAACCCTGCCTGCTGTAATATGTTTCACTGAGGGTTAATCCAGCGCTTCTGTGATTCTCATGTAGCGTGAGTTCAATGCTTTCCTATGGACGGTTTGAATGCGCATGCGGCTCTGGCCGCGCATGCACACTCGGCTGCACTCGGGAGCTGACATGGGCAGGGTGAGGAGAGGTCACCGGCGCTGGATTAAAGTAAGTGGCTGAAGGGATTTAAACCTCTTCAGCCCAGCGGGAGGGGGGACCTAATAACCCTATAGTGCCAGGAAAACTGATTTGTTAGCCTGGCACTATAGTGCTCCTTTAACAGAACATGGTTTTATTCACTAAACAGGACCAGTGAATTTTGAGTTTTAAGCTAATAGAACAGTTATGGAAATAGAGAATTTTTCTGAGTTGGCTATTATGTCCTTGAAGCAGATTTTGTCTGGTCATTTACCTATTGTTCTTGTAACAATGTATAATTGTCTTGTTCATTGTTATATTAACTCTGTTATAATAATAATAAAATGCTGCAGAATAAGTTGCCGCTTTATAAATGCCTCAAGTAAAAATGTATTAATAAAGGTTATTGACAGCTGGGTGCTGCCATTGTTTTCTATACTTGTGAAATGTGCATGCTGATTTGTTTGCCTTATGCTTTTAATTGTGCATGCATACGCAGACTTTTACTAAAGTTAGACTTGTTGGTAATTCAAAGATAATTTGTAATTGCAGACCAAAATAGCTGAGCTAGAAGCATAGCTGACTGCTATTTTCCCATTTTTGGCCTTGAATTAGAAATTTACCTTGAAATTACTTAGAATTTCTGACAGTTTTCACTTTAGTAAGCTGTTACTGAGACATGGTATAATGAGAAAAATGACTGGGACATAGCAATACCAGGGTACTCTTTATATAGGAAAGATAGGGAAGGCAAGAAAAGGGGAGGGGTGGCCTTGTATGTGAAGGATAGCATAAAATCTAGCCTAATAAAAGTTAGTGAGGCAAACATAGAGTCCGTTTGGGCTACGTTAGAATTTGGTAATCACACAGTAACTCGTGTAGGTGTGATTTATAGGCCCCCAGGACAAATTGAAGAGTTAGATAATCTACTAGTTGAGGAAATAGCTAAAATGACAATGACGGGGAACTTATCATCATGGGTGACTAATCTTCCTGATGTAAATTGGAAAACAAAATTAGCTACTTGTGCCAGGAGCACACATATTCTAAACTCGCTACTGGGATTGTCTCTAAAACAAGTTGTTGAGGAGCCAACTTGTAAAGAGGCCATACTAGATTTAGTGTTAACAAATGGAGATTTGGTATCAGATATTACTGTAGGTGAAAGTTTAGGATCCAGTGATCATCAGTCAGTGTGGTTTAATATAAGAACAGTGACTGAGTCACACCACACAAAAACAAAAAGTTTTAGACTTTAGAAAAACAGACTTTTCTAAAATTAGAATATGTGTAGAGGAGTCATTATCAGACTGGAACAATTTAAATGGAGTCCAAGAGAAATGGGATTATTTAAAAGTTGCACTATTGAAGGCAACAGAAAATTGCATTAGGCTTGTCGGTAAAAGCAAAAAATTCAAGAAATCACTGTGGTACTCCGCAGAAGTGGCCAAAATAGTTAAAAACAAAAAGTTAGCATTTAGGAATGATAAAAAAACCCAGAGTGAGGAAGAAAAAATGATCTATAAGATTAGGCAGAAAGAGGCTAAGCAAGTTATAAGAGCTTCCAAACCACACACAGAAGAGAAAATAACACAGTCTGTAAAAAAGGGGGATAAAACATTTTTTAGATACATAAATAAGAAAAGATAAGTAAAACAAGGATTAGTTAGATTAGAAACAAAAGAAGGAAGGTATGTAGAAGAGGATAAAGGTCTAGCTGACTGCCTCAATTAATATTTTTGTTCTGTATTTACAGATGAAAATGAAGGAAAGGGACCTCAGTTGAGAAAAAGGATAAATTAGTAATTTATTACATGTGAGTTTACAGAGGAAGAGGTTCTATTTCAACTGTCAAAAGTAAAGACAAATAAGTCAATGGGACCTGATGGAATACACCCAAAGCTATTAAAAGAGCTTAGTGGTGTATTAGCAAAACCATTAACAGATTTATTTAACCAATCATTGTTAACAGGAGTAGTCCCAGAAGACTGGAAGATAGCGAATGTTGTGCCCATTTACAAGGTAATAGGGAGGAGTCGGGCAACTATAGGCCAGTAAGCCTTACTTCAGTAGTGGGAAAGTGATGGATACGATTGATGAATAGTGATGTCCCGAACGGTTCGCCGCGGACTCATCATTGAGTAAACTTTGACCCTGTACCTCACAGTCAGCAGACACATTCCAGCCAATCAGCAGCAGACCCTCCCTCCCAGACCCTCCCACCTCCTGGACAGCTCACTAAGAATGCAGCTTCATAATGAATGTAAAATGGATGCTGTCCAGGAGGTGGGAGGGTCTGGGAGGGAGGGTCTGCTGCTGATTGGCTGCAATGTGTCTGCTGACTGTGAGGTACAGGGTCAAAGTTTACTCAATGATATGAAGTCAATGTAGCGAAACCGTTCATAAGCTTTCGATGGGGACATCACTATTATTGAACATCTAAAAACACATAGATTTCAAGATCAGAACAACGGTTTACTTCAGGGAGATCATGCAAACTAATCTTGTTGATTTTTTTTGATTGGGTAACTAAAATTATAGATCAGGGTGGTGCAGTAGACATTGCTTACCTAGATTTCAGTAAGGCTTTTGACACTGTTGCACATAGAAGGCTTATCCATAAACTGCAATCTTTAAGTTTGGATTCCAATATTGTTGAATGGGTAAGGCAGTGGCTGAGTGACCAGCAACAGAGGGTTGTAGTTAATGGAATAT